AAGCTGTTACCGTAGGTTTCATGGTAAGACCCAAGACTTGGACCCGGGACCGATTTACTTTTTTCATTTTGATGTCCCTAGAAGCCAAAAACACCATCCGTTCAAATTCATATATATAGGATATTCATATGTATAGGACAAAATGGTCACCATTTTATTGAAATGTATTATTAATGTGTGTCCGTTAGCACAATAACCCGAGAAAAATTATCCGATTTCGATGAAATTTGGTACAAACATGTAAACCTACGTTTATTTGAACGAGGTTGCGAACAAGTATGATCAGACCATGGGAACGGGGTTTTATGGGGGGGATTTATGAGGTAAAAATGGCTTTCCTCGTTTTTGAGCTCAAAAATTCCATTTTTACACAATTTCTGTAGACCATTTTGAAGAGCTTAAAAAACAAATTATTTCGTATATTGAAGTGTTTCTGTATGATTATTTAGTCCAGTCAATGAATGATCCAAAAGTAGGTGTAGAGTGCGTGAGCAGGTAACTAAGCGATTCCTTCAGAAACTTGTTCAGGGGGCTTAGGGTGTTAACATACCAAAAGTCCTGACTCCTAGGTGGTGAGCCAGGGGGTGGAGGGGGAAAAAAGGGGGGGAAAAGGTACGCATTTTGGGTTTTTTGATTAGGTATATCTCGAAAACTATCAACTTTTTGTATACTATAGTAAATTATAAAATTGAAGAAGATTAAATTTTCTACAAGAAAAGTATATAATGTGTTTATTTTGGTTCAACAGATTACGAGTTATAACTTATTTAATTGATATCTTATTAAAATACTCCTTCCATAAGAAATACATGTAAATTAGTATGCAAAATGGGGCGAATCCTATCCGCCCAAAGGAAATATAAATGATATTCTGGAAATATTGACAAAATTTCCAGTAATTTGACACTTTAATCATGAAATTTTGTCAAAAATTAAAGCGAGGGTGAGCGTTTAAAAATGGGATGATTTAAGTTTTTTTTTATATTTCCAATAAAAAAACACCAAAACTCGACATTTTGTTACCTCGCCCTCGCCTTAATTTTGGATCAATTTTAATGATTAAAGTGTCAAATTACTGGAAATTTTGTCAATATTTCCAGAATATCATTTATATTTCCTTTGGGCAGATAGGATTCGCCCCATTTCGCATACTAATTTACATGTATTTCTTATGGAAGGAGTATTTTAATAAGATATCAATTAAATAAGTTATAACTCGTAATCTGTTGAACCAAAATAAACACATTATATACTTTTCTTGTAGAAAATTTAATCTTCTTCAATTTTATAATTTACTATAGTATACAAAAAGTTGATAGTTTTCGAGATATAATCAAAAAACCCAAAATGCGTACCTTTTCCCCCCCCTTTTTTGCCCCTCCACCCCCTGGCTCACCACCTAGGAGTCAGGACTTTTGGTATGTTAACACCCTAAGCCCCCTGAACAAGTTTCTGAAGGAATAGCTTAGTTACCTGCTCACGCACTCTACACCTCATTCCTTGACTGGACTAATTGGTTACAGAGAAAATTGTAAATTAAAAATTCCCACGTTACCGGTATAAGGAGAATAAGTAAACTGTTGTAGTTTGCTTGTTTATTTGGATCAAAACTGGCAAATCTATTTATTTAATACTAACCTATTAATATTTTACTAAAAAACACACTTTATTACCCTCCCTGTATGCAGCAAACCTAGGTAGGCTAATCGGTAAATGTTATTTGAATAGATTTAGTTGGAAATCAAATCAGGTACTGTAAATGGAAATTCGCTTAGTCTGCAGGTTTGCTGCGGCGGGGGTATTTAGTATATCAAACTGTCCAGGCTTTCTCGCTTTTTAGCGAATTTCCCTATAGGGAATTAGCGAATTAGCTATTACCGTATGTGGCACGGTAAGACCTAGGTAGGCTAAGACCGATGTACTTTTTCCGTAAATACACAAATACCATTAGCTGCTTTCAAACAAAACAGCTGTTACAACACCACTTGCGACGTTGCCACTTCGAAGGCCGCGGCCTGGAGTAAACGGCGGCCGTGCATCAGTGATCTTGGAATGGATGGAACATGGAACTTCAAAACGGCGCTTTTTCGGATTGCAATAGATATGGGTTGGTACGCCTGCGGACGCCACAAACGTGTTGTGCTGGGAAGTCGGAAAAGCAATTCAATGACAATACGGTGCGAAATGATGTTTTTACATGTATAACATTTCAATAATACCATGATAAAACGTGTATACGTGTTAACTAATTATTAATACTTCATGTATTTTATAGGCGTGTTTGAGACAGTATTGTACATTATACGTAGCTATGGCTTAACAAAACGCGTTCAATTAAAATTCCTAACATAAAAAGTGCATAATCGTTTTCCTAAGCCGTTCACCTCAACTTTGAGCTAGTCAAATGTTAATACGGTATACAATGTGTAGAATAATCAGTATATATACGATTGAGGCAGTCCCATAAATTACGAAGCTACAAAGCCAAAATCTATATGGTTGATAGGAATCCGCGTCAGGAAAAAGTGCACAATCTTTTTCCCAAGCCCATCACATAAACTTTGAGCTATTTTAATGGTAATATACAGCTTGCAGAATAATCAAGATGATTATGATTGAGGCAGTCCCGTAAATTACGAAGTTATATAGCAAAATCTATATGGTTGATACGAACTCGCGTCAGGAAAAGTGCACAATGTTTACCCTAAGCCCATCACATTAACTTTGAGCTATTATAATGTTAATATACAGCGTTTAGAATAATCGCTATTACAATTATAATAGCTCAAAGTTGATGTAATGGGCTTAGGGTAAGCATTGTACACTTTTTCCTGACGCGAATTCGTATCAACCATATAGATTTGGCCTTATAGCTTTTAATTTAAGGGACTGCCTCAAACATACTCATACTGATTATTCTACACATTGTATATTACCATTAGAATATCTCAAATTTGATGTGATGGGCTAAGGGTATACATTGTGCACTTTTTCCTGACGCGAGATCCTATCAATCATATAGAATCGGCCTTATAGCTCCGTAATTTAAAGGACTGCCTCAATCATACTCATACTGATTATTCTACACGCTGTATATTACCATTATAATAGCTCAAAGTTGATGTGATGAGCTTAGGGTAAACATTGTGCACTTTTTCCTAACGCGAGTTCCTATCAACAATATAGATTTTGCTATATAGCTTCGTAATTTACGAGACTGCCTCAATCATACTCATACTGATTATTCTACACGCTGTATATTACCATTAGAATATCTCAAATCTGATGTGATGGCTAAGGGTAAACATTGTGCACTTTTTCCAGACGCGAATTCCTATCAACCATATAGATTTGGCCTTATAGCTTCGTAATTTAAGGGACTGCCTCAATCATACTCATACCGATTATTCTACACGCTGTATATTACAATTATAATAGCTCAAAGTTTATGTGATGGACTTGGGAAAAAGATCGTACGATTTTTTCTGACGTGAATTCCTATCAACCATATAGATTTTGCCTTATAGCTTCGTTTTACGAGACTGTACAACACATTGTATATTACCATTAGAATAGCTCAAAGTGGATGTGATGGGCTTAGGAAAAAGATTATGCAATTTTTTATGTTAGGAGTTTTAATTGAATGAGGTTTGTTAAGCCATAGCTACGTATAATGTACAATACTGCCTCAAATATGCTTATACAATACATGAATTAATTAGTTCAGCACGTGTATACACGTTTTACCAAGGTATTATTGACATTACATACATGTAAAAACATCATTTCGCACCGTATTGTCATTGAATTGCATTTCCGACATCCCTGCAAAACACGTTTGTGGCACCCACAGGCGTACCAACCCAGAATTATAATCCGAAAAGAGCCGCTAGCTAACCTCACGGCGCTCGAAAACCGAACAAAAAAAAAAGCATCAGCAACAGAACAGAGGCGAGCCTTTCAAGACCGGAAAATGCCGCGCGTCTGCGCATGCGCAAGTAAGCGTTATTCGTAGCACTTGACTTGTAACAGCTGCAGCTGTTTCAGAAAATCACACTGGTATCTTCACTGCAACTCTTGCAACAATCTACTTGAAACTGGAACGGTTCTCCCGCGCTAAACTCCAAACCATTTAATTACTGTAACTGAATGAAGAATTTTACAGATTATGTTTATGTATTTATCATCCTGTCGTCCTACTTTCCCTCTGCTTAGGCTAAGGCCTTTTTAATTTTACTCTGCCTAACTTAATATTTTAGAACTTAACGAATTTCCTTGGAATAGTCTAGTGAAGTTAGGCTAGGGTCTTTCGGCCTACCTTCTTCTGTATCGAATTGAAGGTCTTCGACTTCCATGTTGAAACCATGTCTCTCTTTCAAGTGGATTATAAGTTGAGAGTTCCTCACAAAATCGTGGATACAATCCTTATGTGGACACTTTAGTCTTAACTTATTCCCTCCTCCACTGGTGCTAGGCCTACATAATTGTTGTTTGTGCACATTTCTAAAGTGTCTGAATAAACTACTATTAGTTTTTAACACTTTTCCACATAAACTACAAAGTACTCCAGTGTTATTGTTATTGATGTCTTCCATTATTTCTCAGAATCTACGCATGGAAGAAGGAGCACATTATCGATAATAAATAACCTCCGCAACACAGCAGCAATCAAAATCTATCAATAACAATTAACCTCAACTTCAACTCAGACATAACTCAATCATAACATAAACAATAACAAACGATATGAATAATAATTAATTATGAGGAACTAGTTGCAGTTGCAGTGCAGTCGAGATAAATACTACAACGACGCTAGTTAGTTAGTGACCACGGTAGTGACCGTGACCATAGATTAAACATCCGTGACTTTCTAAAATAGCTGCTGCTACGCCACCAGTTACTAGCGCATGCGCAGAAGCGTGGCATTTTCCGGTCCTGAAAGGCTCGCGAACAGCGTGAGAGTGGTGTAAACAGAGAGAGAACTCTCAGGCCTAACCTAAGTTTGTGTTGGATAATGGATAGTCTTTGGTTAAACTCTTAAACCATAGATAAAATAATAGTCTATGAATGAATGGTTAAACGTTGCCTAAACAGTAGTAACTTGAGGTTAATTTGTTTTTTTTGTTTGATGTTTGATGTCTTAACATAAGAAGACAACATGTTGCCCCATAGGCTACAATATAAAAGGTTTTATAGGCCTATGCATGGAAATGGGGACTGAAGAAAACAAATAAATGTGATTTGTGTGTATTTTCAGGTAAATACTTAGTCATTCCATATTTTAATTATTAGAATAATCCAAGTTTAATACTTATTGATAGGCCTACTAAGTTATTGGTATTTGTTTAGGCCTACTTTAGGGGCTTTTAACGAATTTTGAAAAAAAGTTTTTTTTCTCATTATTTGGCCTATTTTGAACACTTTTTACATTTGGCACATTTGGCAAAGGCATCAGCGTGAAACTGGCAATAACTTAGATCAGCAATAACCCATTCCTCTACTTCACCCTGAAAATCGCAAATTGTGCTGAAAATTCAATTTTTTATATAGGCCTATTAAAAAAAAGAATAGACCTACTTTTAATTTGCCTTAAGGTTAGTTCTTAATTTGTAATTTATATCATTTGAACAGAAGGAATTAAAACAGAAGGAATACGGATCGTGAAGTAAAACAATAATATCGATATATCGAAAAGAAATCATCGATAATAATGAATGTCCCCTTTAACCCTTTCAGTGCTAGGCCAATAATTCATATTTTGTAAGACTTTTTTGTTTGCCTTTTAATTCCATTACCTGTTGTTGAATTTTAACTGTCATGTTGTCACTATTTTATTAATTAGGCTAATTTTGAATAATAACACAATAAGAAAATATATAAGAAAGATAAATCCCGGTATTTGTAGTAAACATTAAATAAAACTTAGTTTTTGTTGTAATTTTCCTGGTTTTCCTATAAATTTTTATGTTCTGATAGCATTATTTGAAACCGAAATCTCATAAAATCAAAAGACATATAGTTTACAATGTAATATTGAATTTAACCCTGATTTAGTTGGACGAGGTTATCGTAATATAGCCATTTTAGGGAAACTAATGTTTTGCAGCAAAGTCTCAGGAACACATTACTACTACTAAAACTAAAAGATTGCATCTAAATAGTCCGTGACTAACTGGTGCTGCTACCTAGTAACGCATTGAACAACCATCTGCAGCGCCATCTGTTCGCAATCGGTGGCGACAGCTTAAATACAGGTTTTTGACTCCCCAGTCTTCAAGCACAGATAGCCGAGAAGGCTAGGGCGTGTGTCACTTGGCCAGTGGCATTCGTCTGCTCGGGTTCGAATCCCGTCCTGTGTGGCAAATAATTGGTGACCTGTGTGTTTGTAGCGATATACTACAACCACTGGGGCATAGTGAGGTGTTCATAATCCTTGGTTTAGACATACACCTCGAAATCATCGGATTGGGCGAATCTTTTAGCTAAGTGGTTGGTAGTGTATCCTATGAACATGCAGGTCACCAATGGCCGTTTTGCTATTTTTTTTTAAATAACCTTCCTCTATATTCTATATCCCTATATTCTATATTCTATATAATCTATATCCCTTAGGGTTTTTTTAAAACAACGATATATCGTTTCATAGCACTGAAAGGGTTAAAAGGAAAGTACCAAAAAAAAAACACACACACTTTACATACAACGAAGAAACACAAACAAAGAAAGAAACTGTTTTACAACATGCGAGGCCGGCCAAGGACAAAACCAGACTTGGTTGGCCTCACTTTTTATAAATATTGTAAAGTAAATGATAGTTTGTGTTTCCTCGTTATGTGTAAAGTATTGTTTTTAAATTTGACAATGGCAAGTGCTGAGTAATTTATGTTTGATAAGAAAGAAAGAAAAAGGATTGAAAAATGAAATGAGGATTTGATTTTAATCGATCCCAGCAATATTTACGAACGGACTGTTTTAAGCCTACTGATTGGATTTCACTCTGAAACAAAATGATAATAACCCAAAATGTGATATTTTATTATTGCTATTATTGAATCATTTGACTGGGTTAGGTTAGCTTTATTTTCAATATTGTCATAGATATTGTGTACACTATACAACACCTAACTTAACATCTAGATGAATGAACACACTATGTGATATGATAATCGAATATGCCTAATTTGATACAATAGAAAATAGGCCTAAGCCTATTGGGTTGTATTGTATTGTCTGTTATTTTCAATTATCAATTATCAATTTTTGCATGTATTTGATTGCCTGTTATTGGTTGCCGTATTTATAGCTTGTATTATAGCCTGTTAGTTATAACCTGTCATTTATAGCCTTTCATTGCCTGTTATTGCTTGCCGTATTTATAGCTTGTATTTATAGCCTGTTATTTATAGCCTTTCATTGCCTGTTATTGATTGTTTTTTGTCTGCATTGCCTGTTATTGATTGTTTTTTTGTCTGCATTGCCTGTTATTGATTGTTTTTTGTCTGCATTGCCTGTTATTATTGTCTGTTGTTTGTCCTTGAATAACATTACTTACCCAAAGTTTTTTCAAGTTCTATTCAAGTAGTAATGTAGTGTTGTTGTAAATTATGCCATCTTGTAGTTGATTATGCTAACTACTATTGTATAAATGGTGTTACCATGAATAAATGAATAAATAAATTGTAGGGTTTTTGTGTATTGTTGGTTGTAACGTGTTAGTTAAGTCTTTCCTCCTGGGGACGGGATCTGGAAACGCTTTGTAATTGTATGTTACCATATTGTGATGGAAAATGTCTGCAATAAACCTTTAACAACATCTTTATCTTTTATTTATATTTTCTAGAAACCCCTTAGAAGAATGGAAGGTGAAGGACCTAGCGGCAGTAAAACTGCTCAACCAGCTGACTTGTATAGCGATTTTCGCAAATTTATCGCTGGAACCTCAGGTCATTCGGAGATGGATCCTTCAAACCTTGCCCATTTGGCACTATCTCTTCTAAAAAACTTGTTTGCTGCTCGTGATGCTGTTTTGGAATACTTTTGTTCACTCTTTGATGCTGCAGTATCACACTACGTAAAACAAATCCAGGTAAGTATTTAATGAATAGTCATAGGTCTAATAAATTACGATTTAACTGGGAATAAGGGCCTTCCCAGAGATTGCTTTTGCTCATTTTATGAAACAGCTAGTCTAGGATGAATTTTTACGTTTACATTTTTTACAGTTGCTAGCAATTAAAGCATAAAAAATCAAATAAGCCGTATTAAATGGTACCTTACCCTCAGTTTTTAAAGCCTGGTGAACTTCCGTGTCAGGATACAATTTTAAGGTGGGCTTCTTATTTAGAACTAAAGGATCAGTTATGAAAATAAACACACAGTTTAGTGTGCAGTATGAAAATGTGGGATTTATGGGCCATCTTTGAAAAAAAGAACTTCTGTCAAATTGTTAATTATTCTGCACGATACCTTTACACAATAAGAGAAATTTTCATTCCCGAACTTAAAAGTGTAGAAAGTCGACATTGAGAACATATGATTTCAACTAGATGGGACTACTGTCATAGATAAAACATACTTCCTCAGTAGATTTGTCATCCTTATGGAACAGCTGAAGCCAATTTTATTTTTAGTTCCGTACGTCCAACTGTAGAGGTTGTGTTTAGTTTACAATTTGTTTCTTGTTCTTTCAGTCATTTAAAACCTCATTTAATAAATAAAACGATATAATCATAAACAAAAACTCATCCTCTAGTTACATAACCAAATACTAAAGAACAAATCATGAAAATAACCCTAAAATAAAAGAAGAAAAAATTTTGTCTACCCCAGCGATCAGTGTGAACGTACATGAACTAGTTACGAAAAACAAGCTTCAAAATTTACAATGTCTATGGGCCAGGCAAGATGTCGGTATAATTTGTGGGTACCAATTTTCCTTTTCACCAAAGTTAGACGGGTGTATTAGGATGTCAAAAAACCATGATTGCCATCTCAAAGTGGTAGCTAATAGAAATGGTTGCCAATCCCAGATGGCGGATGTTGATTTTTAGAAAACCAACTACCTATATCTCTGGAACTTTTCACCCTATTTAATTTTTTTTACCAAAGCTCTATATGAATGCTACAAATGTTGTTATATACACTACTTCGATATAATTAACCCTTAGCTAGTAGTAAAGGCAAGATTGATTGTTTTTCAGATTTTTTGTGAAAACAAATTTGATCAAGAGTTTACTAAAGAACTCCTCCTCAGGGTGTTTGGCAGCCAGTATCAAAGATTTCTGTCATTAGTAATACACCCAAAATTGCGATAAAAATACGCAATTTAGACATTTATACCTCACTCCTCGCCAGCAGCCGTTTTTAGATTGTTAAAATTGTTCGACATTTCTTAATAGAATCTAATTTTTTCTACTTTAAGCCTACATAACGATACCTATTTTAAACAGCTTGTTTTAGAATCTACATTAAATATTCTATCAGGAAACATAGGCCTAGTTTGTTCCATCCAAATCCATATAAAATTTTGATCCATATGAAATGACTCGAAAAACGAATTTGAAAAAACCAATAAAAAAGAGCGGTTCAACTTGTTTAAGAAAGATTTTACGTCTTGTTAAACACTGTCAAATAGTTTAAAAACTGCATCACTATTTACGCTTTAAAATGATATACAACATGTGACTTTATTTTCACCTATGGAAAAAAGGTGAAAATTAAATAAGGCTCTTAATAAATAAGGTTCTTTATCATGTATGTTGGGTTAAACATAATTTGGATCTTTTTTTATACCAATTATTACAAGAGCGCTTTTAGTGAAGGTAGTGTGACGGGTAATCACCACAAATTATTTTCCAACAACCATAAAAAAAATCAAAAAAGATTTGGTTGTGGAGCTTATATGATGAGGTAGAGGTATACCTCAAGTAAGGACTAATAGTACTGCATGATTATATCTACAAGTAGCTAGCGTGAATTAAAATATGAAAAATTGAGAACTGGACCACGACCGACTTGGCAACCTAATAATTAATTACATAATTAATTAAATTCTCATTGCCCTAGTCTACACTCTTTCCCAACCCCTATAACTTTGTCTACTAATGCCAATAATACTCATCGATACAGAGACGTCGATCCCAGGGCTGCTTCCACTAGACTGCTGACTACTCGTGGTGCGTTCCTCCGGCGAACTTTGGTGCACGTGTGCTTGTAACTAACTCTGACTGTCTCGAGTCGTCTCGGTGACGTCATGCTTGTACATTCTTGGTACACTTGCTCCGCTTGTTGTAGCTGTGATGCTACACTATTAAGCACCACATTATAAGTATGCAAATTTATTAATCCAGTGAACTTATTCTCCCAGTGCTCTACCAATTGGCAGTTTCCAGTGGTCGGTGAGTTGGATGCTCAGATCGACAGATTGAAAGGCATCGATGTCTTTGGTGCATGTCCTTATGCCACACCTAAATTTTATCAGTACAGTAAACGGTACAGTGTGCTGGCTCAGTTACACGCAGGTCTTTGAATCCCCCGTGGACAGGCAAATACAAGGACAAAAAGAAAATGACAACCATGTTTTGTAAAATAAATTGAGTTGCATATTTAGGACAAGTATTTTCTTCTTGATAAGTAATTATTTTGGCCGTCGTTTTTTTACTGCATTTTGTACTTTGAATTGAAATTCCAGAAGGAAGCCAGCACCAAGAGTATGACTCCAGAGGAGGCCACAATTGCAGAGATTCACACTATTCTATGTAGCTACGTCAGCTGTAACACTGAGTCTTGGGCTCCTATCATCTCCACCTGGTCTTTGGAACTGTTAGGTGAGCTGTTTCATTTATTGAGTTACTTAAGGCTTTGAATCAAGCTTGTAGATAAGATCAACTCACCTCACCTCACCTCCTTGGCCTTTGAAACCTAAATTGGTTTTTGGTCTCGCCAACAAGTTGCCTCCACTGTTTTCTGTCTGCTGCTTGGTCAATTGATGTCCCCCATCCACTGAAGGTCTTTCTTAACCTGGTCACCCCACTGTTTGGATCTTCCTAGCGGTCGGGTCCCTCGTGCTCGTCCATTTGTAGCTACCTTCAGGAGACTGTTTTCTTCTCTTCTCGCAATGTGTCCTGCTCACCTCAATCTTCAGCTCTTATCTTCGGTGTTTTTCCTGATCCGCCATATTTCATTTTCTTTTATGGGTTCGAAAATCTTTCTTAATACTTTGTTCTCACAGACGATTAATTAATCTCCTTTTGTTTTGTTTGGTTAGGGCCCAGGCCTCTGGTCCATACTAAAGTACCGGTTGGATAATGGTTTTATAAATTCTTATTTTTGTGGATTTCGATGGTAATTTGGATCCCAAGATTTTGGAAATGCTTCGAAAACAGTTAGTAGCGGCGCGGCGATCAGTCTCTTTTCCATTTAATTATCTCTTTTGTTTATAGAATTAACTGTTATTCCCAGGTACTTGAATTCAGATACTCACTCAATGGCCAGGTTGTTTACTTTTAATGGTCCCTCATCCTCATTTTGAATTCCTCCCACTTTGAGATATTTGAATTTCTCTGCACTTACTTTAAGTCTTATCTTTTTTGATTCTGTTGTAATAGTTTGGGCCATTTTCTTAAGATCCTCTTCGGTTTCTATGTCACTAAGATAAACTACAAGAAATAGTACTAAATACAATTTAGCCTAACTAGCTGTTACCCACGGGCTTCACCCCATTTGACTTCATAAGTACAGGGTGAGGCAGTGAGAACACCCCAATTTTCTTTTGTTGTCACACTATAAGTAAAGCAACAATGAATGAACAGCTGTGCTTATATCATCAATTAAACTATGCCATTTTAGTAAACATTATGCCTAAGGCTATTAGTACTGAGATTTTGATTTGGAAACCTATTTTTAAAGTAGTGATTCTTGTGCAGAAACCCAGAGATTGTTTAGACCACATTCTATCCTTGGTCAACATGGGGCTGTTCCATATGGTGAACCGGGTAAAATTATTTAGGATAACAGCTTAAAACTCAAAAATAATCGGTGGGTGCCGCAAAACCCTTTGTACACCAACAAATGTTGAAAGAGTGCAAGTCACAGTAACTCAAAGTCCAAAAAAAGATTTGCCAGGAAGCTTTTGTTGTTGAAAGCTTTACGTTGGCTCCTTTTTTTTTTTTTTGGGGGGGGGGGGTATTCTGATAAGCTACTTGAAGTTCAAGGTTTTTCAAAGTCGTCCCACAGATTTGCTTGAACCGAAGCTAAGAATTGTCCAAAAACTAAAGTGATTCCTGAAGAAATGCTGGAGGAGTATTTGATGGGTGACTAAAAAGGAATGTCAAGTAGGACATTGATGTCACTTGCAGGATTTTGTTTTTAAGGAATGGAAAAATGACTTTATTAAGTTAAAAGGGCAAAAGATTTAAGCTGTGATTTGATGTGCTATTTATATCTATAGGGTGAATATTATTGAGTACTATTTATAGATTGGGGCGCTTTCATTGCCTCACCCTGTATTAATAAAACTATTGATTGGTTAAGTTAAGCTGAAATAAACAAAACAGAATACAGTAATACAAACAAATAATCACACCTGATTTTAATAAGGTAATAAATTGAAAGAATAACAAACAAATAAGTACAGCTGAGGTATTTTTAACATTTCGGTAGGCCTATATGGAAAGTTCCCTTTAGAAAGGAATTACGACCTTAAAAGACAATTTATGAAATAATGGATAATTTTGCGCAAGGTTTCTTTCTAAGAACATTTTAAGTATATTCTTTATGGGGGTGTGACTTTTAGTTTTCTCAGTTCAAAAGTTCATGGGTACTTTGGGATTTATATATGGATGTAAAAATAAAACAAAAATCTAAGACAAATTTGGTGGTTTACCAATAATTAATTCTGATAGAGAAAAACGAATAAGTAGAGTTATTATTCCGAGTTCAGCCTATAGCTAATACTATTTTCTTCTATCCAAATGTAAATCAAGAAGATGTGTGATATAGTTAAGAATTTAAGTAATCGAAAAGCTCCTGGGTTAACACACTCAACAAGACGCTCCATCTGTGGATATCCTGCCACACCACTCGGACACTCATCGATCTCAACACTCAATGTCCCATGCACTCCAACACATACATAACTTTGTGGTACATTTCAGGTGTGTTGTCCAGCAAGTACGCCAGTTTGTCGTCTGGCAACACACTCAACGAGACGCTCCATCTGTGGATGTCCTGCTACGACACTCATGGACCTCAACACTCAATGTCCCATGCACTCCAACACAAACATAACTTTGTGGTACATTTCAGGAGTGCTGTCCAGCAAGTACGCCAGTTTGTCGTCTGGCAACACACTCAACGAGACGCTCCATCTGTGGATGTCCTGCTACGACACTCATGGACCTCAACACTCAATGTCCCATGCACTCCAACACATACATAACTTTGTGGTACATTTCAGGAGTGCTGTCCAGCAAGTACGCCAGTTTGTCGTCTGGCAACACACTCAACGAGACGCTCCATCTGTGGATGTCCTGCTACGACACTCATGGACCTCAACACCCAATGTCCCATGCACTCCAACACAAACATAACTTTGTGGTACATTTCAGGAGTGCTGTCCAGCAAGTACGCCAGTTTGTCGTCTGGCAACACACTCAACGAGACGCTCCATCTGTGGATGTCCTGCTACGACACTCATGGACCTCAACACCCAATGTCCCATGCACTCCAACACAAACATAACTCTGTGGTACATTTCAGGTGTGTTGTCCAGCAAGTACGCCAGTGTGTCGTCTGGCAACACATTCAATGAGACACTCCATCTGTGGATGTCCTGCTACGACACTCATGGACCTCAACACTCAATGTCCCATGCACTCCAACACATACATAACTTTGTGGTACATTTCAGGAGTGCTGTCCAGCAAGTACGCCAGTTTGTCGTCTGGCAACACACTCAACGAGACGCTCCATCTGTGGATGTCCTGCTACGACACTCATGGACCTCAACACCCAATGTCCCATGCACTCCAACACAAACATAACTCTGTGGTACATTTCAGGTGTGTTGTCCAGCAAGTACGCCAGTGTGTCGTCTGGCAACACATTCAATGAGACACTCCATCTGTGGATATCCTGCCACACCACTCGGACACTCATGGACCTCAACACTCAATGTCCCATGCACTCCAACACAAACATAACTTTGTGGTACATTTCAGGTGTGTTGTCCAGCAAGTACGCCAGTTTGTCGTCTGGCAACACACTCAATGAGACGCTCCATCTGTGGATATCCTGCCACACCACTCGGACACTCATGGACCTCAACACTCAATGTCCCATGCACTCCAACACAAACATAACTTTGTGGTACATTTCAGGAGTGCTGTCCAGCAAGTACGCCAGTTTGTCGTCTGGCAACACACTCAACGAGACGCTCCATCTGTGGATGTCCTGCTACGACACTCATGGACCTCAACACTCAATGTCCCATGCACTCCAACACAAACATAACTTTGTGGTACATTTCAGGAGTGCTGTCCAGCAAGTACGCCAGTTTGTCGTCTGGCAACACACTCAACGAGACGCTCCATCTGTGGATGTCCTGCTACGACACTCATGGACCTCAACACCCAATGTCCCATGCACTCCAACACAAACATAACTCTGTGGTACATTTCAGGTGTGTTGTCCAGCAAGTACGCCAGTGTGTCGTCTGGCAACACATTCAATGAGACACTCCATCTGTGGATATCCTGCCACACCACTCGGACACTCATGGACCTCAACACTCAATGTCCCATGCACTCCAACACAAACATAACTTTGTGGTACATTTCAGGAGTGCTGTCCAGCAAGTACGCCAGTTTGTCGTCTGGCAACACACTCAATGAGACGCTCCATCTGTGGATATCCTGCCACACCACTCGGACACTCATGGACCTCAACACTCAATGTCCCATGCACTCCAACACAAACATAACTTTGTGGTACATTTCAGGAGTGCTGTCCAGCAAGTACGCCAGTTTGTCGTCTGGCAACACACTCAACGAGACGCTCCATCTGTGGATGTCCTGCTACGACACTCATGGACCTCAACACCCAATGTCCCATGCACTCCAACACAAACATAACTCTGTGGTACATTTCAGGTGTGTTGTCCAGCAAGTACGCCAGTGTGTCGTCTGGCAACACATTCAATGAGACACTCCATCTGTGGATATCCTGCCACACCACTCGGACACTCATGGACCTCAACACTCAATGTCCCATGCACTCCAACACAAACATAACTTTGTGGTACATTTCAGGTGTGTTGTCCAGCAAGTACGCCAGTTTGTCGTCTGGCAACACACTCAATGAGACGCTCCATCTGTGGATGTCCTGCTACGACACTCATGGACCTCAACACTCAATGTCCCATGCACTCCAACACAAACATAACTTTGTGGTACATTTCAGGTGTGTTGTCCAGCAAGTACGCCAGTGTGTCGTCTGGCAACACATTCAACGAGACGCTCCATCTGTGGATGTCCTGCCACACCACTCGGACACTCATCGATCTCAACACTCAATGTCCCATGCACTCCAACACAAACATAACTTTGTGGTACATTTCAGGTGTGTTGTCCAGCAAGTACGCCAGTTTGTCGTCTGGCAACACACTCAATGAGACGCTCCATCTGTGGATGTCCTGCTACGACACTCATGGACCTCAACACTCAATGTCCCATGCACTCCAACACATACATAACTTTGTGGTACATTTCAGGTGTGTTGTCCAGCAAGTACGCCAGTTTGTCGTCTGGCAACACACTCAATGAGACGCTCCATCTGTGGATGTCCTGCTACGACACTCATGGACCTCAACACTCAATGTCCCATGCACTCCAACACATACATAACTTTGTGGTACATTTCAGGTGTGTTGTCCAGCAAGTACGCCAGTGTGTCGTCTGGCAACACACTCAACGAGACGCTCCATCTGTGGATGTCCTGCTACGACACTCATGGACCTCAACACCCAATGTCCCATGCACTCCAACACAAACATAACTTTGTGGTACATTTCAGGTGTGTTGTCCAGCAAGTACGCCAGTGTGTCGTCTGGCAACACACTCAATGAGACGCTCCATCTGTGGATGTCCTGCTACGACACTCATGGACCTCAACACTCAATGTCCCATGCACTCCAACACATACATAACTTTGTGGTACATTTCAGGTGTGTTGTCCAGCAAGTACGCCAGTTTGTCGTCTGGCAACACACTCAATGAGACGCTCCATCTGTGGATGTCCTGCTACGACACTCATGGACCTCAACACTCAATGTCCCATGCACTCCAACACATACATAACTTTGTGGTACATTTCAGGTGTGTTGTCCAGCAAGTACGCCAGTGTGTCGTCTGGCAACACACTCAACGAGACGCTCCATCTGTGGATGTCCTGCTACGACACTCATGGACCTCAACACTCAATGTCCCATGCACTCCAACACATACATAACTTTGTGGTACATTTCAGGTGTGTTGTCCAGCAAGTACGCCAGTGTGTCGTCTGGCAACACACTCAACGAGACGCTCCATCTGTGGATGTCCTGCTACGACACTCATGGACCTCAACACTCAATGTCCCATGCACTCCAACACAAACATAACTCTGTGGTACATTTCAGGTGTGTTGTCCAGCAAGTACGCCAGTGTGTCGTCTGGCAACACATTCAATGAGACACTCCATCTGTGGATATCCTGCCACACCACTCGGACACTCATGGACCTCAACACTCAATGTCCCATGCACTCCAACACATACATAACTTTGTGGTACATTTCAGGTGTGTTGTCCAGCAAGTACGCCAGTGTGTCGTCTGGCAACACACTCAATGAGACGCTCCATCTGTGGATGTCCTGCCACGCCACTCGGACACTCATCGATCTCAATACTCAATGTCTCACTTGTCTCATGCATTCAAACACTGATGCTTGCATCAACGCGCTGCTCGGTAAGTCTCTTCATTTTTTTTAATTTTTTAATTTGCATTTATTAAATTTAATCTTGCATTTACCTCTTCACATTGGTCTCAAGGAATGTGCATGGAATATATACACATATATAATCATAGAAAGGAGTAAGCCTATACAATACAACAAGGAACTGTACTATACTGTCTAACTTAAAGTGGCAACACCTTGCAAAAAAAAATCAAAGTTTTTTTAGATAATTTTGCTTGACAAAATTTGAAATTTGTGGTAGGTCTGGTGTCTGGTTTTGTGCAACTTGTGGAATTTTGTGCAAAGAATGATATGAAAATGAATACAGGCCTTTAAATGAACTTATATTCATTTGCTAGAGTGGAACTACATTGTTGTGTTACCTTTCATTTGTTATGTGTGAACACTGTGTAAATTTTTACTGCTTGTGTAATGATATACATCGTGGAGTTATGTTATGAGTCTTAATAATCATTCCTGGCTATTCAAGTTTAACAACAGACGTATATTTCAGACACTAGTGTACTCCACAGTCCACATTTTGACTGGGTTGTTGCTCATGTTGGAAGTGCATTCCCTCACACAGTCATCAAAAAGGTCCTCTCTTGTGGTCTCAAAGACTTCTGTGAAAACCAACAAGGAACTAAGGTAAATATTGGTAGACATCTATCTAGGCCTGTTACTTAACCCTAGAGTGGTGTCTTCGGTCTGTGAGTCCGATGACGTACAGTAATATTTTTAAGTTCCTGCTCCCCCTGCTAGGGTGCAGAACTTGTGTCTCCTGCTACCTTCCTACCTCGACTCAGTCCACCACCAGACGCGAGGGCGTATTTTTGAGGTTACAGATTCGTCTCCAATTGTGTACTTCGGTCCCCTACACTGAAGACACCTAAAATGAATAGTAGTACTATACATAATGTAATACTATGTATAATATTATAATGTAATACTTTTATGTAATTATAATTATTTTATATAGTTTATATCTCGTATTTCCATAGTTATAAATATAAAATATTTTTAAAATACGAAAAACGGTCTCACAATCCGAAGACACCAAAATTGTAGGCTAATCAAAGTCGCCATTACTCTATGGATAAACAAGGCATTATTTGAAGTCTCAGTCAAACATTAAAAATAGACGGAATTCTGATGGTATATTTTTTTGTTGATTTTTTGTCGTTTCAAAAAACCTTTACTTGTAGCTAATTTCATAACAAGTAAGAAAATTCAACCGGAGAAGGGCTAAGTGCATTGGTATAGGAAACACAGAGTATTAAAAAAACATTGATTTTTTTTAAAAAAAAACTGCCACCATTTTGAAATGGAAAAAGATAATTAATTTCTGTTTTCGCCGAAATGTTTTTCTATTAAATACCTTTAAAATGATGTATAACACAATATATGTTTACATTTGAAAATTCCGAGTTTCGAACTAGTGTCCCTCAGTTTTTGGCACTCTGTATCGTAAAAACGTTTAAAATATTTTTACGTCATTCCTCGGGGTCGATTTAGTGGGAAATAATTTTATTTCATCCTTGTAGGTTAAGCCATTTTTCCGTAATCAATTTGAGACACCTCTCGTGGGACACCCTGTATATAAATATGAATTTGATCGGATGGTGTTTTTGGCCTCTGGGGACCTCAAAACGAAAAAGTAAATCGGTCCCAGGTCTCGCGACACTAAACTGACATCATACATAACCTCTAAATCCGACGATGTCAGTCTCAGTGTTGTTTGGTTGTTCCGTCTGGGACAGGCTCCGGGAGAAAAAAGGAGGACGGGCCTTTTTCTTGTGATTTCGGTGCTTGGTTAAGTGTCTCGTGCCGGCCTTCACTGTCACGAGTCTCAGCTTTTTCTATTCGGCTGGCCAATCAGGGAGTGATTTAACCTTCGTCTCGAATTGTGACAGAGGTGAAAAGAGAAGAGTGAAGAGGCGGTCATTCACGTCTCGGCTATTCGTTCGTTCGTTTTGAAGTGATTTCTTTTGACTCGTTCTCCGGTTCTCCGTCGTTTTGATAAATTCGTGCAAGATATGTTTCCCAAGCTCTGAAAGCTTGAGTTTAAACTTACAGTTTTGTGGTGAATGTGTACATCGTTTATATGTAGTTCATCGTTTGGTGAGTGGTGCAACAACACTTTTGTGGCATTATTTTAATTTTAACTTACTTTACCAGTTTTAGTTGGCAAAACTTTGTTGAAACTTGAAGGCTAGGCCTGCCTCTCAGGCCTAGTCCTACGTTGTAACCAACCAATTTAGTGGGGAAATCGGAGTTGGTGTCTCTCGTATTAAATTAACATCTTGAAATTTATATTGGGACTTTCTTTTTAATTATTAAATCTTTTTTTAAAGTTCGTTGAACGTCCCTAAGTTTTCCCCAGCAGACAGGTTTCTGCTGGTCTAGTATTGCAGAAGTTTGCTTAAGTTGACCACGTGAGTAAGTTAATCAATCAATCAATCAAGAAATTTATTTACACAATAATTGCCAATACATACAAGTACAAGTTTTAGTTTTGTTTTGAAGCTCAAGTAGCAGATTTGTTTTTTGTTTCTATTTTTCTCGTTTTGTTTTCCACGGACAACTTAAGCCAGCTGGTTTTTTTTTTGTAAATTCAGACTCTGTGGGACTAGGCTAGGCCAATCTTAGGCTAACCTTGTCTGTTTCAGGTTATCACGTGTACCTTAACCCTGTAGGTAAGCAGGTTGACTACTTAGATTACTGTTTGCTTAAATTAAGTAGTTATTACCCACAGAGTCCCGTCAAAGTTATCGATTCCCCATAAACTCCCTGACTAGAGCAGTGATTAAAAGCGTGGTGTCTGGTAACCCGCTAGGTTTGCTCCTTAGAAGATCCCCAGAACCCGACTCGTGCGATTACTGGGACCTCATTTATCGTTAAACTGACGTAATTTCCCAAGTTACCATCTACGTTTTGTCGTCAGGAAATTTACCGTTGACCGATACCGTTGTCAAGACTGGCGGTTTGTGCAAGTTTTATACTTCAATCTGGTATAATTGGTTTTCAGACCCGACTATGTTATCGGGGATAAGACAGATATCAAAATGTCAACATTCTAAATTCGCCATCTCTATCTCTTTTTAAGAAGCATGTTCTAGAGTGGCTTGTAGGACTGAGTTCAGAGGATACTGAGGTTGTTATCGCGTTGGGCCGACCTGACCATAGGTTGACCCTACAATCTTCACCAGATTTTTATAAATTACCTCAGTTTGCATAAAGAGTTTTTTTTATCATCAATTTCATTCCAGAACACTGAAAATTCAGTTCCAAGCAAGACAACCTTTTAAAAATTTAGAAACTATACAAGTTTTTTTAAAATTTTATTTTTTATACATTTTTGTTTACCTCAAATTGATATTGACTTTATCGTAACTCGAGTCTACCCACAGGCCCTGTAGACGCACAGGGAGCCTATGTAGACTTTTTCCTTTGTTATAGAAGGTATTTTTTTATATTTTTTTCACTTTATTTCTACAGTATATAATTTTTGTTATCTAGATAGTAATGTTTCCTATATTATTTATAAGTAAAAAAAAAAATAATCTGTATACAATTAATGGGAAATAAAATATAATTTCATTTAATTTAATTTTAACTAGACATTACATCCCCATGTTAAACTTATAGCTAGAGTTTTATTCAAAATCGTTGTATGTAGTTGATGTGAGCTGCTTATCCAAATTACTAATTTCTGTCGGATACACAAACTTTTTTACGAAGTCAAGGTAATGGAATGACTTATTGTGAGCTATAGCAACTATTATGACCCATTAACTTGGTCAGCAACAAAAAATAAGGTAGAAAATAGAATATTAGACACATTCTGTGACTGGCTCACACAATTATATTCTTTCTAAGTGACAGGCTGGTCTATATAGATGTAATTTCTACTCCGGTAGCCAATAGTCAATGGTGATACATATTAGTGGCTTTGATTATTCTTACCCTGTATGTTATTCAATATAACATGTTTAATGCTCCGAGTAATTTTGCTTTCCCATTCAGGCACCAAAAATTAATTCCGTGGTTGGAATTCTTGGTCATCTCGCAGGGAGCCATTTAGCTGATATTCGAGGTGCTCTGTTAGAACTTTTTCAGGTAAGCTAGTTATTTTTAAGTAGAGATTTTAAATCAGTTAAGCTCAAGATACGGTATTACTCAATCAAAAATCTTAAATTTGATTATTTCTCGGATATTATTTATTATTTTTATTTTAACGCTGTTGATTAGCAAGGGTCCTCTAGTAAAAGATGATTGTAAAGATATTTTGACAATGTAAAAGGAGTATTAGCATTGTTTAAATGGAGGAAAGTGGGACCATGCATTACTAAAAGAACACATTTCTCTGTTATTATTTATCCATTCTTAACAAATAAGCTATCATTAAAAAAGTACATAAAATTTACTTACTTTTTTGTCTCATGCATTTTTTTTGTTAAGTTAACGGTTTTCCTGAAATTTGGCATACAATATTTCAAATGGCTGCCATTATGAAACAGTTGATGATTTTTTAATATAATTTTTAACCAAAATAGGAATTAAGCATTTTTGAAAAATCATCTAAAAAATCAGCTTGAAACATTTTTGGAAAATCTCAACGCTGTATCTCAAACCGTTTAGGAGCTTTTAATTTATTTGTAAAAAAAAACACATAGATACAGACAGATGGAAAACTAGGCACCACAGACCCATGTTCCTATGGTGAAATGTGTTTTTCTTGACCTAAGCAATAACACTATATACATGTGTCCAGAGAGTTACGGGACACCCTGTATGTATATATATGTATAGATATACAGGGTGTCCAGTAAGTAAAGAGCCAAACTCTGGGAAATGGTTCTATGGGTCAAAATAAAAAGAAAATCAAGAATAACATTTTTTCCAAAATCAATTCGCTAACCAGATATTTACCATTTTGTTTTTTTCACATTAATATTTTTATCTTTAAAGTTTTTCAACCGATTATTATGAAACTCGCTGTGTATGTTAAGGTAATAGAGACCCTTGCTAGAAAAATTTTATCTAAATTCATCATAAAATTTCTAAGTGGCGGCCATTTTAATTTTTAAAACTTATAAAAAAATGGCTGATTCTATGTAAAAATTACAGGAACACTTTTATTTGTTTAAAATTTTGTTTAAAAAGGACCTTCCACATGATATGAAATTTGTTATACCTTGCTATTTGCTATTTGAATTTTGAGTTTTCAGCTTTCTTTTATTCTTCTGAGTCGGTGGCTCAGTCGGTAGCGTCGCAGACTTCGGGCCCAAGGCAGCGATGTCGTGGGTTCGGATCCTGGTCACTGCCGATAACATTTTATCAGTACAGTTCACCTTTGAAGATAGTTAAATGTTTTTTGCACCAAAATGATTGGGGTGATGATTAGACCTTTAAATTGATGTATCACACAACCCATGTTTACATTTAACAATTTCTCAAAAAGCACCCCTACTCCCCAAATTGGGCCCTTTTGTGGCATTTTTCTAAATTGAAAATAATTTTATTGGATTCGGCATGTCCAAATTAGGAGGAAATGAGAACGATTAAGTGTTAAAAGCCTTACCTTTGTACACAACAGATATGGAAAGTTTTCAAATGAACACCCTGTATACATATATAAACATATATACAAATTTGAACGAGTAGTGTTTTTGGCATCAAGGGACATTAAAATGAATAAGTAAATCGGTCCCGGGCCTAGATCTTATCATGAGACCTATAGCTATTACTACTTCCCTATAGGGAAATTCGCTAATATCAAAATGGCTGCTGTTTACTTACAAAGTAATTTAAGACTGTTCTGAAAGTTGTTTGGGTAAAACAAGCATAAAAAATTTCCTTTCTTTTAATATGTTTTACTATAAGTCCGTTATGAACACTTACATGACAGTTGATAGCGAAGAAGGTAATTTAAATCTAAATGAAAGGTGGAAACTAACAATTTTGTATGACTTTGGTTTCAGTGGAGTTTAGAAGATAGTCCTACAAATGATAAAGCTGTGGTTTTGCAAAGAGTTGCAACAGTTCCTTATCTGCTACAGCTTGCTCATCTTTCACCTATACTGCTGGAAGCGCTGTCTACCGACGTGGTACATTCATGTAAGTGTTCAGTATTTTATATCCTAGAAAAATTGATCAATTAATTATTTTATTAATTCAGCAAAACTCACTTGGATGCATATTTTAAGCTGCACCTCGGGTAAAATGGAGTGAAATTACCTGTATAGCTTTGTTAGTGTAAAGAAATCAGTTGTTTCGATCTTTGTTCTGCCAGTATTATTTAAAATACCATTCATCAAGGAAACCTGGGTCATTGAGTATACATGTACTAGAGTGGACAGACACTCAATGGGACCTTTAGTTATCTGAAAAGCGCTGTTGCATAATAGGGTCAGCAGCTCCAACTACGCTGCTTTGTGCATGTTGGTGAGTCCAGTGACTGCGCTCTAGCGACCACCAAGACATGAAGTTGAATATTGATTTTTTTGGAAATGCTTTGATTATACTAAACACATCTTAACCTGTAGCGACCTTTTTTTATAAGTTAGCAACTTATTATACAAGGTGTATCTATAAAACAGCCAGAATGGTATTTTAAGGGAGCAATATTGCCTGACATCCCCTCTTCATGATACCAGGCTGCTTTTTTTGGCCACAGTTTTCATTTGTGTCAGATCGTGTATGAGCCGCTCATCGGAAAATGAGTAATGTGTATCAATGGGAGACTTATTGTCAAGCTCGGTAAGTCCACAACAGAGACTTATTTCCTTTTACAAGTGTACGGGGGTCAAAGTCTGTCAGGTACACAGGTTTTTGAGTGGCATAAAGTTTCAAAGAAGGGAGGGAATGTATTGAAAATGATCTACCAGCAGGGCATGCTTTAATTAAAAAAAAAACTTATGAAAACTTTGGAAAATAGGCAATCATATCAGCCAAGATCGTTGTTTAAGTATCCCTTGGTCTTTAAGAATTGACAAAAAATCAGTTTGACTAATAATACTCTAAAATTGCAATGTGAGAACTAAAATGGTGCTCAAAGCCCAAACAAAAGAACTCAAGGAGGGACATTTGTTCTGAAACCTTAGAAAACATAAACAAATAAGACCTATTATTTTTCCGATAAGAAAAAAATACACAACCTGATACAAACAAAAGCTGTGACCAAACTAAGCAGCCTAGTGTCGTCAACGGGGCTGAAATGTGAAGGCAAAGGGGGATACGTGTGGGGGTGTGTCAGGCGACTCATCTATATGGTGTTTGGCCTTCAGGCTCATGCCAGACTCATTTTTTAAAGCCCCACATTTGGTATAGTAACTTATTGTTCCAGTGGACTGCGGCACACTGCGGAGTGTGTGTCAGTATGCCACAGACTGGTGCTGCTATCTAGGTGGCAGACACAAACTACAGGAGCTGGTGGTGCATCTGGTTCTCAACTGTAGCTCTGGAGGAGAACACATTTTCAAACTTTTCCTGGACGCTTCTCAAGACCCGTACAAACCTCTCAGCAACAACGCCTGGGAGATACTTGGTGAGTGAATTGGTACTTCTACTTAACGATTGGTGACTATTGGTGACTTACTGTATGCTGTATACTGTATATTGCATGCTGGAATGTTAAAACGTTCAAGAGTTAGTGAAATTCATTTCATTCATTCAAATTGTTGGTGGATTTAGTGCTCACAGCCTATGAAGAGCAGGCCTAGATCTCTCAACCAATAAAATGACTACCGGTACAGGTACATCCAACGTGGGTCATCGGCCTAGCAACAACCAAGGGTCTCCGTTTGTCTACTTCATATGACAAGCCTAAACTAACAGTGACAGCTGATCGTAATTGTAACGGGTCCAACGTATCTCACAGTCTAAGGCCCGATACTTTTTTTTTTTTTTTTTTTTTTTTTTGTCCTAGGACGCTAGGCACGAGCCTGGGATTGTTTTACACATTACTTCAGGCTAGACCTAGGGGTTGCGGCATTATCACTTAGATAAAATCCATTGGTGACTTGGCGGGGATCGATCCCGGGACCTCACGGACCGAAGTCCCGCGCTCTAGCCACTACGCCAGCTCGCTTCCCCAAGGCCCGATACTAGTAACTAGTGCAATGATTCGCAATTGCTCGAATTCGAGCAACAGGTACACTAGTAAATAACTTATCTTAATTATCTAAATCTGCCATCTTAATAATTTAAAACTCCTACTTCATTTAACCTTCACCAATCTCAAAATACACACCCTGGTGAGTAGGTTTCATTTGGATCCATCCTATTGTAGCAGATTTTTGAGAGTAAGGATGAAGTGTGGTCTAGTTTCACTATTCAGTTAAGTTTATAAAAAGTATGGTTCAATAATTTTAGCACAATACTTAAGTTTTTGTCACCCCTGGAGTTTAGTCGTCCTAGGCTACTTGGAACAAACATGTTCTTATCCTTTGTCTAGAGTTAGCTGTTTTGTTGTGCAGAGTTGGTGTTGGTTGAGATGAGTCAGCAGCTAAGGATGAGGGATGTGTCACTGCCTCTGCTCAACTGTGTACACCAGAACATCACCAGCCTGCAGCCATTACTGCTGAGCAACCAGCCACTCAGAACACACACCATCGTATCCCTGCTGACACAGCTTGGTAGGTTAATCCTACAGTTGGGCATTTTGAAGTAAACCCTTTGAGCTTTAGGGATTACTCAGTGTACCTATAAAAACTAATCTTTTTAAATAAGAACAGTTTTTTTTGTTTTTTTGAGACATCATTACTTAACCCTCCGAGCGTCACTTGTCAAAAAATCGACTCACGACACACTTTGTGTAGTGTCACTTGTCGATTTTTCGACACACGAACATCGTTTACGGCGAAGGCTCTACGACTGACTGAATCGGATTGAACTGGATCGAGTTAGGTATCGTTCTTTTTGTTAGATTCAGAGCTTTCTCCGGAGGTCTGTCTCTAAGCGCTATTCATTTTAGTTCCGAAAATATTGTAGCAGACAGCTGACGTGCGTATTTGTAAACAGCTTGCTTAACCTCGGACCGATGACTGATGTGTTTTATTACGTTTATCTGTTAAAAATCAAAAGTAGTGATATACGTGGTGCATTATAAGAAGATTTAAGTGATTTTGAAGGGCTGGTTGATGATCCTGAAGAAGTAGGTAGTGATATTGATGTAAATTATCAGCCAGATTCCTAGCTATGGTTAGGCTATGCATTCTTAGCTAAACGCTATGTACTGAAATCTGTTTTTTGCCCTTAACTTATTTATTTGCAAATCTACTTCCTTATATTATTATATATTTGTAATCCTCATAAAATTTAGAACAAAGTGGCTATTTTCAAATATATTTATAGGCCTATAATTTATACAATTTCATTGAGCGCGAACTTTTTTTTTTTTGAAAATTTTCCAAAATATTTTTTTACCTAAAAAAATTTTTTGAAACAAATGTTTCTTATGTTTTATGTATAATATTGAAGCCCATGATTTTCCAAACAAAATGGTATATAGAACAGTAGAATTAACATTGTTTTAAGCTTCTCAGATCCGTTTTAATAAAACCTTGCAAATGCGCCAAAAATAGGCGGACATTAAGGCCTAAACTATGGACACTCGGAGGGTTAATAGGGTTGCTTTGCTTTCAGAGCAGTGAAAGCCAGTTGAGCAAAGCAATCACATTTATATATATATTTTTTTAAGTAAAAAACCTAATCAACTTCTATGGATGAAATAAACATATTTTACTAAATTAAATTATGAATTTGTCGATAATGACAAGACTACATGCACTATATAAAGTCAATAGTCCCCACGTCTTTATAATAGCAATACCAGAATAATCCTCACGGACCGGTCACTGCCCCTTCCACCGCAGTGAGACGTGACCTTCCATGGACAAATACTGTACCTATTTATTTTGATAAGTGGTAGTTTCAAAATTCCCTGTAATACCCTCTGTGTATTCTTTGATCAACGGTCTTCATCTGAAGGTTTTTTTTATTTAAGATTAGTTTTAAATTGTATAGGCATTATATACGAGGGTGGTTTTTAAGTAAGGGCCGTTTTTACATATAAATCCAAAGTTTGCTTGTACGCCACAACGAGGCCCCTTGCCAGTTACTAGCTTATTTGTGAATTATTTGTGAACAGAGTGATACCGTTTGCAAATAGAAGATCTCCTCATGAGTTGCATATTTGTTCTAACTTTAGACAGGATTTTAAACCTCAATCTATAATGCTAACACTTCAGACAGCCATCTCTCAGACCTTGCGGTCCAACTGACTAACAACATTGGTCAAACGTGCAAGCGTCGTACAAATCTTGTCTCCCAGTTGCAGCAATTATATTAATTATTTAAGATGGAGACGCCACTATGTGCATATTTTATTTAATCCAAATATGAGTGAAGGATGAGTGTAGGATGAGTGTTGCAATCTTGTAGTCTTGTTAGTGACTAAGTAGGCTGACATGTTCCTTAAATGATTTATGATTTAAATACAGCACATGTCAAGTATAGCCTTCAGTTGTTATTGTTGAATATGTAATATATATATGTAATGTAACAGGTTTTACTGTTTAATAATTTACAAGGCAATGTTGGCAATATCTAAATGTATACGTTGAACTGTAACCGTTTGTATTTCCCACTACCAGTTAATAATATTTGAATTAACGATTGCTATTGGACGATCAGGTCACGCCACTTCCCCAACCCATGAGTCCATGTTAACCGACACCTCCAGACCTCAGTTAAAGCCAGCTTCCATCCTGAGTAACTCCGGCCCGTTCGGTCGTTAGCAGTTTTACAGTGTTAAACCGTAGTGCTTATTAACTTCCCGATTCCCGTAGTGTAAGACGTCAGGGTGACGTAGTGACTTTGGCATCAGTGTATAAGGATAGCACCATGTCAACAAAGATACGTCAGGGCGACGATACTTCAGAATATTCACATGGACATTTGTTGGTGGAAGCTTTGACTATCAATACAACTGTATCCAATAGTCAGTGGTGAAAGTCTGGTTATTTAACTCAATATAATTTAGTATGAATATTTTGCAGGTTGGCAAGACTGGAACTTTGTGGCCAGCAGTTTGTCGTATTTACTTCTGAATGCAACCAGCGACTGGCAGTTGGCAGCGCTGATGCGACTCATTGAATCTCACAATGGAAACAAAAGTCTGAACAAAGCAGTGACATTGTCTCTCACTTCTACGTATCCTCCATTCAGCTCAGCACAGCACAATCTCTGGTTCAACGTGGAGAAACTACTCAAGTCCGTTCATATAATTTTATATTAAATATTACAATTTATAAAATATGTGTGCTTTTTTATTTTTTGGAGGAAAAGCACTTAGTTTGAACTAGTGATAGTCAAAACGAGAAATTACAAATCTCAAAACAGTCAAAATTAAAACCTAAAAAACTCAAATCTCAAATCCCAAAATCTAAACATGAAACCTTTTTACTTGCCTGGTTACAGTAAAACAAATCAATATAATAATAAAATACTTATTATACAATCTAAGTTGGAAGAACTCAGACTCCTGACTCCGACTTAATAAAATAAAATATTGAATTTGTTAGTGATATACTTTAAAACTAGGTACCTACTTTAACTTGTGATGAACTTTCATAACTCTGATGAAATTTCAACAAAACGGTTCAAAAGTGCTGAAGAATTGTATTGAGAGTACAATAATGATAATATTAAATATATTTTATTTATATACCTTACGTCCTTAATCCTAGTTTAGTCTTGGGCAACTAGATTCGCAACAATTGTTTCATTTTCAGAAAACCCTTACAGACAACAACTACAAAAACTGATCAAAACTTTAAATCATCGTAAATCAAAGTTGACAGTATCCAATAGCCTAGAGGACTCTGTAGTGGACAAACTATCTTGCAGAGACTGTCCAAAAATGTACACCGTACAAACAGGTGGTTCTTTCAAGAAAAAAAATTATTGAACATTGAACACCTCCCTAAACCTAAATTGAGAACACAACATTCTAAGCTCGCTGAACACCTAAATAACGAAAACCACAATGTCAAAAGCTGTAGTGATACCTAGATATTTGACATAAATGCACTAAAGGCTCCTTAATGAACGTCCTAGAAAGGTATGGAATCTACAATAAAAGCAACAACAAAATATCCCCACGACATTTTAAATGAAAAGTTAAATTTTGGCTGCAATATAGTATTTGACAGGATTGATGACATTGATAGCACAGCTGTCTCACCTTCTCCAATGTCAATGTCACCAGACAGGCTTCAGGTCCATTGTTGTGCATGTTATGGCTGGCCGCTCATTCTTTTATGTCAACTCAATGTTCGTACATATTAAATGTTATATTTTTATGTATTGGCGAAGACAATGTGTTCAAATAATTTTATATAAGATTAAGACAAAGAGGCTCGAAAATCAAACAATCGTTTCAGAACTAGTCGCCCGAGACTAAACTAGGAATGACGACGTAAGGTAGTTAAACAAATTTTATATTTGCATAAATCAATCCTAGAGACAATACTGAATAAATATAATAATGAGAAGTGGGAAGATCAATAATTTATCTGTACGATCTGTGAAGCATAAAAAACCAAACAAGTGTAGGTACACAATATTTTTAGAGGGCATTTTTTATCTGATAAACAATAATAATGACACCAAAAAATGTCAGCAGTTTTCTCAAAACTAAAACGTTTCCTAAGTTTTGGTGGTTCTGAGACCACTAGTTTGGACACATTGACAAGAAAGGATAGATACTAGATAGTAACTAGTAACTCGCCTGATTCATGTTGCGTGACCTTTTATGGATATCTATAAGCACTTAGAATCTAAATTTCTTTCCACTTCTTTTCTAAAACAACTTCTTAATCAGCTCAATGACTGCCCCTTAAAACATTCAACTTAGGCAACCAGTTATACAGCTGATTGTGAATCAGTCACTATATAAACCATAGGCGGTCGACACACGGGAAGACTGAAACCCAACTAAAGTTGAACCAACTTTTTTGTGACGCGATTACGATTGCAGTTGCGTTGGTTAAATCCGCACACGGGCGCGACTGTAGTTGAGTTGAGACTGTAAATGAGTTCTAATTTGGTTATAACGATACTGTGTACTGTGTATGGTGTTTGAAATGAGTGGTAGTGATTAAGAAGCCCTGGTGTTTTATAGACAATCAATAACGTAGAAGGTATTGGGTACATTCTTATGTTAAAACAAATATTAAATGTAGGCTCTTCGTAGCTGCCGCTGCATTAAAAGAAACGGACGAAAAATTTCAGTCTATGAACAGGATGTCAAAAAGCACTTACGAAGAGTTATCGCAGTTGGTATGCCCGATCCTTGAAAAGCGCAATACAAATATGCGAAAAGTTGTTCAAACCAGGCGACTGAAATCACCTAGCAACCGGCAGGTCCGGTTGCTTAACGACTGATCGCCGACTGGTCCTCAACTGGTCGCATCGCAGTCGCACCGTGTGTACTGTCCCACCTAACTACATTGGTCGGGACGCTGGCGACTAGTTTGTCCAACTAGTCGCCGATTTCAGTTGGAAAACAGTCTTCCCGTGTGTCGACGGCCATATTGTAAAAAATGGAGATGTCACAGCACTATACAGAACATGAGGCTGAAGTGGAATTGTCGTCTGTTGTAGTGATGTGTCAAAACCAAATCTCAAATCTCAAAACCATCAAAACTTTGGAAAAGTTTCGGTTTTGAGATTCGGTCACCGTGTTTCGAGATTGGATCACCGAGTTTCGAGATTCAAAAGTTTTGAAATTGTAGAATTTTGCAGTGTTTTTTGAAACTGCTGAAATTATTTTGTGTCATTATTGTTTTTAACACTGTTCCTCACAAGCTCGTAGAAATAGACAAACATCACCATTAACAGTAATGAAACAAATATTGTAGGCTAATCTGAACTTCAAAAGCTATCTTAAATACTATAACTAGAAAGATATGCGATTCAGTTTCATATCAATATTTATTAAACCCAAAGAAATATTGACCGCTTTATGTTCTAATTAATCTAATATTCATATTCATGTTGGTGTTAGGAGTTTATTTTTTAAACAAAACTTATCCCCAACCAACAAATCTTAGTATCCAAATCTCAAATTAAATGTTCTGTTTTGCCTGTAAGCCCTTGTTTTGCTTTGTGAGCATTTTAATATGTTAAAGAATTTGAACTGGAAATAGTCATAATATTTCATCTATCAAAAACCAAACCTTGTTAACCTGAATATCATATGATTGCTTGTGTTGTATTTTAGATGGGAGATGAAGAGCAAACAGCTGTTCAATGTGACAGTAGCAGCAGTCAGAGACAATATGAGCAGTGTTGCCAAAGCGCTGACCTACAGTGACTCGATGGCTGTCAGTCATGCCATCATGAATGTGATAGAACGCTCTCTCACATCTCAGCCAAAGCTGCTACAGATGCAGACAAGCCTATGGTGTACTCACGCTGTTGTACATTACTTTTTAAACACACTTCAGCACGATGGTAATTTTGTTTTTGGGTTTTCATGGGAAAATAACATCAGTTACAATAACTTTTGAACCGTAATTTATACAGCAATGGGGGTTGCACTCTGTTGCTAATAATTATAAGGATCCTCAAATAACTATTTTTAAATAAGACTAATTTCAATCAAAACCGGCTTTTTTTCAAAAATACAATATTTTCTTCTTAATTTATAGGTTTTTTTATGAGAAAATTACATAAGTTACGATAACTATTGAACCGGAATTTTTACAGGAATTGGAGCTCTACCATTATGTTCAAAATGTAAAGGGCTACAACATACTAAATTGTTATCAAAATCGTTCGGGCCATTTTTTAGAAAATTTGATTTTCCCGTTGTTTTATTTTGGGTTTTTATAGGGAAATCACCATTATCAAAATTTTGAAAAAATGAAAAAGAAAAAACACCTGGAGATAATATGGTTACATACAAACCAAATTTCATTAAATTCGGAAAACAGGTGTGGTCTGTAGCTCTGTACACATCCACACATACACACACACACACAGACATCACTTTGAAAACCACCTTTTTTGGGTCCAGGGACCCTAAACGGATATATCCAGTCAAAACTCACACTCGAAAATTTTGACGAAAACAGTAGGCCCTACTTTCTCCATATCTTATGGTATAGGAGGAAAAAGTAAAAAACTAACTTAATTTATATTTCTCAAATTTAGAAGATTTCGAATAAAAAAAAGATGTGTCAAAAGGTATCCTTTAAGGAGTTTTTAAAAACATTTTGTATTTACCTTCAACCAAGGTCTCTTTTACTAAAAATTTGCTCTTCCAAAGTTTTAAGTTCATTTTTCAGCAATGAAATCATAGTCAAGCAGTTCGTCTCCGATTTCTAATATGTGTCGTACAATTATAATTGGAAAATAATCTGCATCAAACTGGTACTGGTGAAATACGCTATAAGTCTCAAGTCTCATCTACCCATCAAGTTATTCGGTTTGACTTAAATAAAAGTAGATTAAGAGGAAGTCAGCTGTACTTGACAGAGAAATGAGTTGTGAAATAATAGTCATAAATCACGATCTTGACAAAATAATGTTGTTTTCCTACAGTTACCTAACAATGTACATATTCTCTCACTGATTTGAGAAAGCAAAGTGGCCAATTCGCTCATCAGTGAGACAATGTTAACATTGTCTCACTCTAATTACTTTGTCTCACTCCAGATTTGCAACGTGAAGGCACGAAATAGTGAGCGCGTAACATGCAGGCAACGTCGTATGCGCGCGAAATACGTTGGCAGCACTGGCTGTAAATCAGCTGGTCAGCTGTTGTACTGTTGTATTAGTCACTTCACGTTAAATGTTATATTAAAAGTTCACTTCTGTGTAAAAATAGGTTATGTTTGTTCACCAATTTATTTGTTTTATGGTAACTGTAGGAAAAGTATAATGTGCAACTCGAGTTCAAAGTACAATTGCCTCACTCGAGAAACCATTCCTCACTCGCCTACGGCTCGTGAGTAAGGGTTTCTCTCGAGTGAGTCAATTGCTCACTTTTCTCACTAGTTGCACAAATAACTATTGTTTGTAGAGGGTGTTAGTCGCATGCGAGGGTGCCGCACCGCCTGCAAGATGCTAACATGGCTGTGTCAGACGCAACCAGGGGCGAGACCCACTGCACTGAGAGCAATAGTGGAGGCCGTCCTGGACTCACCAGCCAGCACACTGTTTGGCAGACAAGCACCTAAGAATGTCAGTGGCAATCCTCCCCCCGTGTCACTACTGCAGGAGAACCTCAAACAGGTCAGTTGCTTACCAAATCTATGCACTATTGATATATATTTTTGAACTGATTTATTTGTATCAGTTGGTAAAGGTCGTATCAGTCTATCCACGGCGTCCAGCAGTTTAGGAGTGTTTGATCATTTGACAGACCAAACGTTTTTAAAATGTTCCCTCTGTTGTGTGTGTGTAAACGTAAACTTTCATTATTCTTGTTCTTCTAGATAAAAGATTTGACAATGGGGTAAAAGACCTTGAAATTTAGCCATCCGCAAAGGAAAAAAAACTGTAGGATTGACAACAGTAAAATTCAAATGTAACCTAAAATATAAGTTAGTTAAAAAAATCATATATTACACCAACAAAATTTGTTATACTAAAATTTTATAAAATAATAAAATGAATAGGGCCTAATAATTTAATACGCAACATATAACACAAATTTAGAAATATGTCTAGACGCAACTACAGTCGATGCACAGTCTCGCTGCCTATGTCGGCTTATCCCCTAAAAATATGTACAAGTTTTGTTAAACATAGATGTTATGCAAAGGTTGATTTAATTTATTCTTTTAATTTCCCATCTTTTTTCCCTTTAAATACTGCTGTACAGTTTTGTAAATACTTTGTTGGAATAAAGATATAATCAATTACAGTCCAACCTCAGTATAACGAATCTGAAGGGACCGAACTGAATATTCGTTATATCAAGGATTGTGTTAAAACAAAGTTCGTTATATAGAGGTTAGGTTTGCAGGAATTTCGCTAAGTCGAGGTTCAGAACCAGCGTCGGTCAATATAGGTCGGGATTTGACCTCATTAAAATACAATTAAATTAGCATAGGCTACAATACTTTACAGTACAGTGTTTACATTGTACAGTAGAACCTAAATTATCTGGCATAATAAAGGGGAGGGATCTTGAATATTGCGCAATCATGACAATGGCATTGACCTTGGTACAGGTTAAAAGCTGTAAGTTTAAAATCACAGCTTGTTAGAACAACATTTTGTTCTAACATGATTTTGGTGACATTTTGGTTCTCCGGTGGTGTTCCCTTACGTGGTCTTGAGGTTGGCGTGGAACATGGAGGGTTAGAACCCTCCTAAAACCTAGCCAAACACTGTATTGCGTAGTCATAAACCATGTAAAGAACAAAACAAAACAGTAGAAAGTTTTGTACGCTACTGACTGCTCAGGCCGGTAGGCTACTTACAGTACAGTACTGATTTATCACAACAGAGGAATGTCAATAATAATCATTAACTATAGCATTGGTGTTGCTAGTTGAAACAAATCGTATTGAAAACAATAAATTATTAGATAAGTCATTATAAAGGTGTATAATCATAGCCAACTAATAAAAACACTCGTAAAAGAAATGTTAAAATAACGATGTTTTTGTTCTTTCTCTTTGGTTTTGTTTTTATATTCTTTCTTAGGTTGTGACGCAAAATTATAGGGGGGGAATAAACTAGTATTCACCTAAGTCAGGCTAGGCCTACCCTAGAACTGGCCACACTCAAATTTCTTCCCCGGAGTGCTCAGAAGGAGCCGAGAAAAATCCAGGGGTCGATACGAAGTTGTCACGGCTTTGACTGATCAATTTATTTAAATTTAATCGAAGGCTCAGAGCTCTAGAAGCGCTCAGGAAATCCTGCAGACGCTCAGTTGGAGTTATATCATCCCAGCCTTCGTTAACGTGTTTTAGTAAATTTTGCCTAACTTTTAGTATGACTCTGTAGGACTGACAAGTACCCAATCTTAAGCCAATGTGATTTAAATACTCGTAATGAACTTTAAACTAATTAGTTGAAGACGTTGGTAATTGATCTAATATCGAATAAAAGGCAAAACAATTCCTACATAGTCGTCGGGGCCTAATTAATATAATTGGACGGAGAATTTATCGTGATGTTGTTTAAAATAGATTTAATATTAATTTACGTAGCTGATTGTTCAAATCAGCCTGCTCCCAAGACTTGATTCTTTCACCCGCCAAAGACGGGGTTTAGAACTTAGACGACAAGTCTCGGGGTATTAAAACGGTGAAAACGAGATATAATTTGGACGTGATAATTATTTGTTAAGCGAACGGAGAAATCGTAATTTCGAAACTAGTTAATTAAAAAAAAATAAACGATCGCCTCCGCTAGTCACTGGCAGGCAGGAACTGGCGGGTCAAGACTCAAGTTACGATATTAAATTTAGATAATTCGAATCGGTAATATGAGAAAACGAAAAGGTATAATAAGTTAAGTATGCGTAAGATAAAACAGAAAGAACGTAAAACGTAAAAATGGGCCTAACTAATATGGTAGCTAACCTTCGTAATAATATCGTAGTGTCGTTTCGTTGTATTCGTAACCCGTGCGAGCTAGTCGGTGGTCAAACAGCGAATCAATCTTGTCCGACTCAAATCATGATTTCCTCGGTCGAGGCTTAATCGCTCTGGTGGTGAGTTTGAGAACTAGCCAACAGCTGATCGGAAATTCACCTGTTGAGCCGGTCTAGTTGTCGTCTGTCGTTGGTCAACAAATAAACACCAGTTTGGGGTTATGTCGTCGGCGGCGTTAAATATCTGTAAAATCGGCCGGTTTAACTTTATTATGTGAAACGAAGTGCTATTATGAATAAATATGTAGTTGTGGGTGTGTTTGTGTACTTCACTGTTAATAAAAGTAGGCCTACGTTCTTTGGCCCATAGCCCAAGCTAGGGCCAACACATAGGCCTAGGATTAGGATGTTGTGGATAAAAATCGGGTAAGTTATGGTGTTTGTTGACTAGCAATACGTTTTTACCCCCCTTAAAATTTGGTACCTCACAAGGTTTCTCTTTATCCAAAAATTGTACAATTCACCATAGTTATCTCATATCGCCCAATCACAGCTTACTAAAAATTACGTCGTCATCAGTCCTCAGTGAATGAAATCAGTTCTCAGTTGCAACATAGCGCGCGCAGCGACAGCAGACAAAGATGTAAAACGGAGCAGACGAATGTTAGCGCAAGCGATGACAAGACCTTTCCATTTAATATGATAAAGAAACAGATTTTCCCAAAACAATAATTGGGTGGGGGATTTGTTATATCGAGGGAAAGACGTAGACAATTTGTTATGCAGAGGTTAAATTCGCAATGTAGAGGTTCTGACAATGATAAATTCATTATATTGAGGTGTCTTATTTTAGCCGAAATCACGAAAAATTCGTTAAATCAAGGTCGTTGTTATGGTTTGTTCGTTATGTAGAGGTAAAATAAAAATATACATTGTGTCTTATGGAGAGTTCTAGGGGATTAAAAAATATTCGTTATATCAAGGAATTCGTTATATCGAGGTTCGTTATATCAAGGTACTACACATTACATTACATTATTTGTCATGAGAACCGAAGCCCCCTGACTGCATACCCGGTACCTGTCGTGAGACTTACCCGGGCCCCATGATGTAGGCCGAAGCTTACGCATCAACCTTTAGCACATCATGGGCGGATAACTTAAGGTCATCAGGCTCGCCGGCTGCTGAAGCAGACCCTTCAGAAAGAGGGTTGCCCCTCAATCCTAACCTGGGATTCCGGCTGCTTGTTTAAGCGTCACTCCACCTGGGTTCCACTAGGTCGGGACCTAGAGGTCCATGGTAGAGCGCCCCGACGCATTTAGTGCAAGCAACACTCGGGACCTATCTAATCCCTGACAGGCAGAACCCGCCATCAATAGCCAGGAGGAAGGGGACCGTCAGCGAAACTCCCATTTACACCACTACCCGATCGAGGCCTTACCCATTGCTGGGAAACCAGAGATAACCAGAGCGATAGATCCCCAGATACCCCTGGCGGTATCTCAAGGTACTGGGGTCCTTGGTTATATCAAGGTACCGTAAGGGACTGTAATTAATTCATGATGCATATTGTTCCAGACACCAGGAACTATGATGGCCCAGAAACACTTGTCTGTGTTCCATGCTGGAGTGATTGGTTATGGATTGCGATTGCCTCCAGATCAGCAGAGGTAAACTTAACAAATATTCAAAATACGAAAATAGTTATGTTAAGCAATAGCAACTAATATTATACAATTGATTTGTAAAAGTTTTGTTAAAATTTGAGTTTGTCGCTTCCAATTTTTGTACAGTAGACCTCCGATTATCCAAGGTAATGGGACCGGGACTACCTCGGATATGGGAAAACTTGGATAATATGGGAGGTTAAGTACAGTAATGGTAAAAATGATACAAAACTGCTATATTAGAAGAAAGGACATATAATAGACACAATTAAATACTTGTAAGCAAGTATGAACACAGATTATTTCTTTAAAAAGTCCTAGATTGTCTTCTGAGCTAACCTTTTCCCTCGCTGAGATGATGCAATGCTGCACCAACGCTGTCGAGTAAGAATGTAGTATGGCATAGGTATACACTCTTCTTGCTGATCTATGAACGCAAGAGGAGCGTCGATCACCTTCAGCCCGCCAGTTTATGATATTTTGGGAGATGATCATGATCATGAATGTCTTCGCTGTTGATTTGATTTCCAATGGGTAACTAGTTAGACTAGTTCACTCACGTCTCGGGCTCTGGCCCTTTTTAAAACGTTTTTATTAGCTTGCTTTCTTGTCCGGTACAAATTTTGCAATCGATTTTATACTAAATTGAAATTTGAAACCTCACAAATGGATGACAATGCAATATTATATCATTTAATTTTCATATTTCCCTTGGGCTACGCCCCACGGGCTTCAAAATTTTCCATGTTTACATTTTGAAAGAATGTAAATATATCAATTAATTTAAGTCAGCTGTAAATACTTAAATTTGACAGTTAGAAGAGCACAGGTTAAGAGGTACAGGTTATGCTCCCAAGAGATTCTTTATACAAACAAACATTTCAAAATAAAGATAAACAATCTGATATGCAGATATAAAGGTGTTTGTTAATAATGTAAATTGCTATTTATTTAGTTTAGTATTCTATAAAGTAAACAATACATTAAATAGATTGATATATTTATAGTTAGTTGGTAGGCCATACATTCAATCTAATACATAATTATATGAAAAGAAACTTAAATAAACCTTACATTTCCCACATGCCTCTGTCTTATACAGATGCTTAAAATAGATTTAACATCCACACACATTAAAAACTAAAAAGTAGAAAATAGTTTATAAATAAAAAAACCTTTTTAAAACAAAACGTTTTTAAAAGCACTAAAAAGTAGAAAATAATTTATAAATATAGGAGAGTATAAATACTTGTAAGATTTAAAACGAAAAACGTGGGGTGCATGCAATTGAAAATAATACATTAGTTCAATAGGTGAAGTTAATTGTAAATTATCTTTTGCATGCACCCCACGTTTTTTGTTTTAAATCTTACAAGTATTTATACTCTCCTATATTTATAAATTATTTTCTACTTTTTAGTGCGTTTAAAAACGTTTTGTTTTAAAAAGGTTTTTTATTTATAAATTATTTTTGGTGCATCTATGCCAAATAAATTCTTCTTGGTCTAGTGGTTGTATAAGCGAGGTAAGATTAGGGGGTAGAACGATTGCCTTAATATCACCACTGCACAGTTCTTGGGCATCAGGGTGAGATGGCGCATTGTCCAACAGTAGAACAGCTTTCCTGGGAAGCTTTTTTTTCCAAAAACGCTTCAGTGACAGGTACAAATTCATTATAAAGGGTGGAACAAAGTTAATGTTAAACATTTTTATGTGTTAAACTACTAAGTTTTATTGACAAAATGGCACCAATTAAATTATTTTCCTTTCCCTCACGGGTCAAAGTTATTTCCCAAGCGCTAATTTAGGGCGTGGGAAAATCGATCAGCTGATTTTCCCTCAATCTAAATTTACTTACCTTCACTCTCGATTAGTTCTCCATTTACTCACTACGCGCGCTAGTGTTTTGTTACGGTTTAATTTAATGATTCAAATCAGATGTATGTATTGTTCAAAGTTGTTTTATTCTTTTATTTTAATGTTTAAAAAAATGTATTGAGAAATATACGTAGGCCTAGGTTTCCTTTAGAATATTTTATTATATTTTGGAAATTAATTGTGAAATTAAATAGTTGTTATATTACAGAGGTCTGTTATTCTGTGTTAGTGTATTTTTGTGTTGTGATGAAAAGTATCGATCATAACTCGTACAGAAAGTTATTTTCCAGCACTTGCTCCATTATTCCCGTCCTCGGCTTCGCCTCACAAGTGAAATTGTGGTTTCCTGTGTTCAGCTTCTTTGCCTTACACAAAAACTTGAGCGCGCCGGAAAATGCCATTTTGGGTCCTAATAATGAAATATACTATTTTAAAAAATATTTGTATTTGCTTAGATAAAATGAACATAAATTGCTTTTAATTCAACATTATTGTCATTTTCAAAAACCTCATTAAATTTCCAATAATAATAGTACAAAGTCATTGAGATCAAGCATCTGTGTAAGCCCTTATTCCGTAATGGAATTTTGAATGTGTGAGAAAACCAGAAAACGTTATTAACTTTTACGAAGGCATTTTTATGCTGCTCTGGACTATATAGTGTCAAATAGTACAAAAAACTTCCTCAATTAACAATCTTTAAAATAATGTACAAAACCATACTGCTTCTTAGATTTTTCATTCTTGAATCTAAGATCTTCTCTTGAAAAAAATGGTACGGGTAAAGTTGCATTTCCTAAAATAACATGTATTTGATTAAATAATATGGCAATAGCTGCATTGAAAATTATGTTTCGATGGAGTTTATTTCGATGGAGTTTATTGTAATTTGTAAGATCTTTGTGAAATTCCTCACAAAAATATTAAGAAAGTATTGGTCTTAACATCCATATAAACGTGAGTTCTGTGATAAATTTTATTTTATTTTATATTTTTATAAAGAGGTTGGCGGCTTATTTTAACCTTGCATTTGCCCGTCCACATAGACTAACCGCCCGTGCATGGAACTTATACAGCAAAGCAAGGAGTGAGCCGTACAAAAGTGATCTGTACTGATAAAATGTTTTTGGCAGTGACCAGGATCTGAACCCACGACATCGCTGCCGTGGGCCCGAAGTCCGCGATGCTACCAACTGAGCCACCGACTCACTACATTCAAAATACTGTTGTTATTTATTTTCTTTAAAAATTAAATATTGTTTCAGTGTCAGTTACATTTAACTTATGAATTTAATGTTAGCACTTACAATAGAATAACCTCTAAAGCTAGGATTTTCAAGATCACGCCAGCGTGATCTGTCCGGCGTGATGTCCGATAGCGCTAATTTTTGTCCGATCAAGCTCAGCGTGAGAGTGACCATATCCACATGACCGCGGAATATTCAAGATTTTACCTTGATCTCGGAAAAGGATTATAATGTTTTTGTGACCACAGGAGGTATGTATTCAGGATTTTGCCCCGACTGTTAAAGGACAATGATGATACTATCCCCGGTAAAAATTATGTCTCAGACAGTGACACACCACACAGTCGCCACTAGTATCGCTCATTGTACATTGGGGTCGGGGTGGCTCTATGTACCATAAACCACGGGACTCTGTTACATCCTTGATCTCAAAATGAAATAAAATTGTGAGAATAATGTGTGATGTGTGTTGGGCAGTCTACCTGAGGCTCAGGTCTGCAGCAACACTAGACTGCTGATGTCTGTGGTGGTGGCTTGTTGTCAAGACACTACACAGGTCACTCTGGACTCTGTCACTAGGCTGGCACTGCTGTTGGTAGAGATGATCTCTCCTGATGTCATGTATAATGGACTGCCATGGCCCGAGGAAGACTTCTGTAAGGTAAGTGGATCACAGACAGAATGTATGTGTGTTGGTTTATTTACACTGTATATGTCAAACAATTATATAGAGTAGAGTGAACATTCTTAAAATAAATGTGAAGAGCTTAAACAATCCGTTAATTGGTTTAACCTTTAAAATATGAAGAGGCTGATTCTGATTATCAATTTTATCACAACTTTTGATGCTGAAATAGGGTTGATGTAAATTCACCAAAACTGCAAATACTGGTAGTATAGTACAATTAAAATCTCTAGAGTTAAATGGCTCTCCAAGCTGAACTTTTATTCTCACAATGTTATTGCTATTGTAGTAATTGTCTGCAGAAATTGCACGTGTACAATTCATGATTCACCAACCCGATCACAGGTGATTCTGGGATTGGTATTGAATCCAAAGCCTCAAAGTAAAAAGAACTGATGACGTCTGAGCGACTGACTGAAGATCACTAGAAACTATGACTATTGTCTTGCTCGACAACCTATCCCCGCAAAAAACTGTATGCTATAAATGAAATGACTAGGTATAAGATAGAATCATGAATATGAATGATACCTAAAGATATGTATGAACAACATTAAATTATTGTTTTTCTGGAACACTGGGGAAAACATAACAAATTATTATGTAATTAACAAATGTTCAGACAATTACATAAAATGGGGAAATATAGTGTTCCTGGCCCAAGGGTAGTATATAGGAAGTTGCCTGGATTCGACTGTCATACACGCACGAGCAAGCATCTGTGACGTCAACCTCCGACCTATGGGCGAGTGAACTGGGATCCATGAATCGATTTAAGAAAACACCGCGTCATATTTCAACTCCTAACAGAAAAGCTGTTATGGTATTCATTAATATGGCTCTATTTTTTCGATTCAGGAAGAAACTGGCTTTACAACAATATGTCTTTTAATAATATTACTTTCTTGTGTGAGTTTTGGAAAATACTGACATTATTTTTTCTTTGAACCGATTTTAACAAATTAAACGTCAAATTAAAGAGGATAAACCTAATTTTATTTTAATCTATCTATATCCAAAATTGGATGGATAGTTAGTTTATAAACATTTGTGAAAGTTGAAAGTGTAATACGTGGCGCGGCGATTCTTCCGGTGAACTGCACATGCACCTATGATTCATACAGTAGTCTATCTAGTTCACTCGTAGTGTCAAGATGTCTAATGATTTACAGTATTATTTTTAACGACAGTTTCTAGTGCTCTATTATACTTCCTGTCATGAATATTATGCATATTGTGTAATTTCATAATATTTGTTATCAACCTAGTAAACGGCGCATTATTGCTTGATAAATTTTATATACATAAAATGTGTTCAAAAGTGGAGTTTAAATTATTTATCTTGTTGATTTCAGCATCTATTTCCCAGGTTGGCTCCAAATATTTCTTGATCAATTTGATGATTGTTTACAAAACATCATCATCTTCTGTAGTTACATGGAATGTAGATTTTCCTAAGATTTGCTTTATAATGAAAGGCCTTTTTTTATACTTTTGGCTGGTCGTAAAATATATGCTGATATTATTTATTTAATAAACTGCTTAGTATTTTACATTCTTCTGCTGTGCTAGGCATATTTGTTCTATAATTTTAAATTAAGTTATTATTCTGTGTTCCCTGGTTAAAGCAGATGATTCAAAATTATTTGTTAATGTTCATAAGAACATTTAGTCGACATTTCAACAACATTAGCACACTTAAACTTTTTCAACATGAATCATTCTTAAAATCCAGTACAGTAGTCATATTATTTCATCCCAATGCTCAGTAATACACCATTAATCAATGCTCGGACTGTCCTTTTCTTTGTACTGTATTTTGTAATTTGTTAGCTAACCGTAGTAGGTTTGTTATATCGAAATGTTATTAACTTTTAAATTTACATTTACCTTGTTTTGGTAACCATCATAGCAACCCATAAGGCTAATGTTATTTTATTTAAATTTTCAATTGTGCAAATGGAAATTTGTTTGTTTGATATTAATAACATGTTCACAGTTTGTCAAAATAACCCTGGTAAGTTTGGATTTAATATGTTCAGCTGTTATTGAGTGATTCGATTACATAATTTGCATAAGGTCCGATCTCAAAGAGCTTCGCTCGCTCCGCTGAATTAAATTTTATTTTTCTTTCAAGTGTACGAGTTACATATTTATGTTATTAGGTCCAGAGTCAGATTTCTTATTTTATGTAATACTTAAGTACTTATAGTTTTAATACTTTTCAATGAAATGGCGACCATACAAAGTAGGTAACCTTAACCAGGCTGGTAAACGTGTTTCGGTTGTGGTTTTAAGATTTAAAATTTCTGATTTCAACCATCATAAATTGAGACAGTTAGTTGTAGTTTGTATAGTTGAAGTTCTGCTGTCATAATTAGTTGATTTGCTATAAAATAGATTGTTTTTATGACTGCCATCAAACATTTATTGAATTATAAGTAAAATTTGTTATTCAGGTAACAGTAGAAAGAGATCTACACATTGCCAACTGCCTCAAGTCTCTGCCTGTGGTGTGGACACTTTTAAGACTGATAGCATCCTTTAGGTTAGTTACACTGTAAAGCTGTTTATAATCGCTGAATTATGTAGATGTAGATACTATTTATTGGAACATAGAGGTATTCCGTAAACCTATGCAAATCAGATTATTAGATTAGATTAGATTCTTACGACACTGACCCACCACGGTGTTTGGCAAAGACTAGTCAACGATGAGTGTTAACTGTTAAATAAATGAAATGGCGGCAGCTTTTTTTCTGACTAAATAAGCTGGTTCATTAGCTAGTGTCATTTATTAAAAGCCCAATGTGTAAGTGATGCTGGGTCCAGTTTTGAACAATCATAAAGATTAAATTTTTCTCAGGATCAAACTGGCAACCTTCTTATTATTAGGTGAGCACTATCCATTTGGCTACCTAGCTATATAGATCAATTTTTATTTTAAACTTTTGGACATCCAAGCCGTGATACCATAAACCTTGATATTTATGATTCTAGATTTACTAAGGAAGTTACCAAATAGTAATGGTCAAATCGTAAACCTGAATCTTACATTACATTTCCAAAGGTCAATTTTGCTTTTTTTTAAAAGTTTATTTACTTAGTTTTGAAGCAGAAATGTATTTATAAATCGGTACAATGTAGTGTTTCTCAGGGATCTACTCTTAGGAATTTCAATAACTTTTCTACATGATAGCTCTGTATATTTCTTTACATTTATATTTGGCGGATTATAATATATACTGTTTAATACGCAATAATTTCATGCAGGCCTGCGCTGTGCACATGCTCTGTACTGCTACGTGCATTGGCAGCCGTCCTGGTAGGAGAGTGGCAGTCAGCTGCCCAGCAAGGCAAGGGTCCGGGCCAGGACTCAGGTCTAGTACAACGTACAGTCTCACTGCTACAGGTCATGGCTCTTGGACAGCTGCTTCCTCCTCCACTCTCCAGCATATCACTGGCCATTCCACACCTGCCTCCACAACAGGTAGACTGTAATTTCAGTTTAATCTAAGTCCAGTTCTTTTGCAGTTAGAAGGCTTCCACAATCTCCCAGTGTTTGCTTATTTTGTGTTTATCTACGTCACTGGCTGTTTTTACTTTCTCCCCCTATACCATAGTATATGGAGAAAGTATTGTTTTCGTCAAAATTTTCGAGTTTGAGTTTTGAGTGGATATATTAAGGGTCCCCCTGGACCCAAAAAAGTGGTTTTCGAAGTGAAGTCTGTGTGTGTGTCTGGATGTGTACAGAGCTAGGGACTACACCTGTGGTCCGATTTCGATGAAATTTGGTATGTAGGTTCTAATCCATGGTATCTCCAGGCGTTTTTTTCATTTTTTTGAAATTTTGATTTTTTATAGGGATTTTCCCATAACAACCCATAAAGACCGGAAAAATAGGATTTTCTCAAAAATGGCCCGATCGATTTTGATAAAAATTTAGTATGTTGTAGCCCTTTAAATTCTGAAAAAATGGTACAAATCCCATTTCTGTAAAAATTATGGTTCAAAAGTTATTGTAAATTATGTTATTTTCCCGTAAAAACCCCATAAAATAACGGAAAAATCGGATTTCCCCAAAAATGGCCCGAACGATTTAAAAATTTAGTATGTTGTAGTCCTTTAAATTCTGAACAAAATTGTACAAATCCCATTTCCGTATATTTACTCTCACCGCTTACACATGATAAAGGTTGTTGACAATCTTATGGGAGAAAGTATGTGTCAGAATGCTGATACCGTTTATTTTTAAAGGGAACTAACAGTCCACTTGTTGTGTCAACCAGCATTATTGTAAGAAAACGACCCAAACCATGGTCCTGTTACTATCTTACACCAACTTTCTGCTAAATAGCTTAATTTATTGATAGCCCAATGGTAAAATGAATCTTGGTTCTGACTCTAACCCGATGCAGATCGAACCAGTAACCTTTTAACAGAACAAAAGGCAAACATTGTAACTTCTTCACTTAGACTTATCTACATATGGTGGTCTTCGAGGCAAAACAGTGTCATATTACTGATTGTTCCCACATCAGAACTTCTTTATGCAATTTTTCATATATTGTCTCCTAGGTGGTGTTGCTGTTACGAGAGTGTGTGTGGAACTATATGCGGGACCATGTACCTGCGCCTGCGTTGTTCACTCAAGACGCCAGCGGCACCATGTGGCGAGACCCAGCACTGTCCAGACCTCCGAAGCAGTACACAGAGACTTTCCGGCTGATATTGCAACGGAACATCGGCAAAATGGGTCAACTTTATGCTCAACTGTTCATCATGTCACCAACGGAACCATAGATTTTTTTAAATTGTGTTGTAAATATGTAATAACTGTTTTTTAATATATTGCTTTTTAATTTAGCATTAATTTTATTTTCTTAAACCTCTTAACTCATTGATTAGGTTGTGCAATTAATTACCCTACTTTAGTTTAAACTTTGTACCAACTGTGTGACATGTATACTATGAGGGCCATGTGCTAAACCATCGGTAATTTATTCATAGATAGAGACTTTGTGAGCTATAACTAGCAATAATAAAGCCTACGTTTTGTACCAAATTTTGAAAATGGTCGTTTACTTTGTGGCGTTTAGGCTACATTCTTGGCGATTGTGGTCGTTTGATTGACTACCATGACTAAACCGTTCGAGTTGGAAACACAAGCATCATAGTGTTGTTATGAAGACAATTTTTTTCTGTAAGAGCGTGTAACATAAGGTATTTTAAATTAAAACTTGAAATTATTTATCCTTTAAGGTGTGAATACTGTGACAAAGTAAAAAGAGAGACATTTTTGACATGTTTTAATCATTAGGTTTGAATTTACCACAGTTTTTAACTGCGGTTCCCTCGGAAACCTTATTTTTTACCATACAGGCCTAGGCTTATTCATGGCTTTATCTAAGGAAGCCAAGCTTATGCACAATGTTATATGGTATAGATACAACCATACATTTTTTAAACTAAGCTAAATTTGGCAAATTCATTCGATAGGTTATGAGTGGCAGCTAAGTTGGTTAAAGTTTGGATCAGCATGCATCTTCGGTACCATGTCGCCTGTCCATAAATGTTGCAAACCGACAAATACCAGAGCCTACACTTGCTTTAGAGGCTAATCTATCAACATCTTCAGCATTGTACATACTTTAGTATTTTTTTTGTTCATTAGACGATGACTTATATAAAGTGTCAAGAGATACATTTTTGTATTAAAATACACCTAACATTTTAGTGTAAATATAGTTAATGGTAATATAACCCACCCTAATAAAAATTGCATTATAATGTGTCTCTTTACTGAATTCTTCACGCTAAAACCAAAAATGTAATCGTTTTCAGTCGGAAAAAGTCCTGAGTTTCCAGAAGATGGTATTGCATTTAGGAAAAAATGTGGTTAAATGAAAGGTTCCTTTTGTAGTTTCAAACGAACCCAAGTTCTTGCAGTGACTAATACTTCAAGGAAAGGAAGATGAAGATTTTTAGCCTTTTTCAAATTCAGCGTGAAAAATACTGGGTATTTTCTATAGTTTAGGCCATAAGGGGCTCCAAACAAATGTTTAAAAACTTTTTCTCATTATTTCAGTCAACTTTAATATTATTATTTTAACAGAAGTTAAGACTGCAAAAGAATATTTTTGGGACAGATGACATTGACCAAAGAATACTGTCAGAGTATACTAATAAATTTCCCCTCAGGGACTTCTACATAACTATCATCACAGCATTTCATGGGGGGGGGGGGATTAGATGTTTATTTACAGGCCTTTGGTTGAAGTCAACAAATAAAAACCCTTAAAGAAGCAAAATGCTTATGGAGAATAGTCAGACTGGAATTTTGCCGCCGAAATGAGCTTCGCACGGCCGCGCTACTCTCTCTCTCTCTATTTCTCAGCAGATTCTTTGTCTCTGCTGCCTTGGCTGCGCGCTTGCAATACTCTACCAAGCGGCCGCTGCGGGAACCATAGAAAATTGAAATATTTCCAGACTGAACTTTTTACAAAGGCATTGTGCTTCTTATGGGTTTGCATTCATTGTTGAAGTTAAAAAGTAGATCACATAATTTTGAAATTGCAATTGTGCTATTCTAACTACCACAACCAAAAAAATATTGGGGCCTATGCCCTCATTCAGTACAGTGCTAACAACAAACCAAAACTGTAGATTAATAAAAAGAGAATTTATCTAAAAACTACAGTTTTTTAAGCATTCTATGCATTAATAGTAGTGGTATGGTTGATACAAATACAAGTAACAAATTGGATTGATTGTTTAAACCACCAGAGTAATAAATGCTGCAGTCGTAATCATCGTAGAGCGACCATTCTTTGTACAGGGTTTTGTTGCTAGCCATAGGAACTGTCGCCTGTCCACATGTGACGGGAGCTTGAGACGTGGTTGGCTCTACAAATACTTTCAATGTTGCCAACACATCATAATCCATATCATTCAACGTTTTGTTAATAGCAGCTGAAAACGTATAGCCTACTAGGGCTAACATGTAGATTAATGACAACATTTTATATACAGTTGTATAACAAATTGAAGGCAAATTGAAATCAGCATGAAAAATTTTAAGGTTTTGGCATCCATGACAACCTTTTTTGCATGGGTATTTAGTCCAGATTGGACCACATAAATGAATAATGAATTTATTTAATAAAACAGTATACAATCATAATGATTATAGTAATCATATAATAGAAAACACAGGATGACATAAATCTTTTCTATCTACTACAAAACGTCACATTATAGGAGTTTATAAGAAGTGTAAAACGTTTAACGGAAACTGAATTACCCTTGTATATAATATGGACCGAGAGTTCTAGTAATATCATATGTGGGAGCTTTCATTTATTGTTGACGTTCCTTTGGTTCATTCCTGGCTCCAAACTTTAGTATCAGTAGCAATACACAAATCATTAAAATATATTTTGTATATTGTAAGTAAATCACGATCACCAGTAAAGTGTTGCCAAGATCGTGGGAGATGATCATCAGTGTTTGCTATTGATAGGATTTTTATAAACTTTCAATGGCCTAGCTATCTGCAGGCTGGATAAAATCTGCAAGTGGGCCGGATCTCAATCGGGCTAAAACATAATGTCATCTTGTTTACAGCATGTAGTAGAATTAAACTACAGGGGAAAAAATTTAACTACAAAAATATGCGTTGATATGTGTCCTGGCATCCTAAAAAAAACTGAGTGGGGTAAACCACAATTGTATGATACGAGGGCTATCCAGAAAGTAAAGAACGTTTTGTTCTGACGCCGCTAGGCGCGCACCGATCTCGTACATTTTGGTGCGTGCGCACTCGGAAACTCAGTCGGCGTCCAGCCGTGGCAACGGGAGCATTCTGGCGCTGCCCTTTTTTTCACAATTTCGACTTAAGATGAGCGCTGCAATTGAAAATCCCGCCATTTAAGAGGGGCGATCAGTGATACGGTTTTTGTTGGCAAAAAACTTAAAACCGATATGACATTTATCGCCAAGTGTGTGAAGTTTAAGGAAACAGTGTAATGAATGAAAGTTCTGAGAAAATGGTGCATTCAGATTAAAAATGGCCGATCTGACGCTCATGAGAGTTGCCGAGTGCGCACGCACCAAATGTACGAGATCGGCGCGCGTTACTTTCTGGATAGGTTTAATAGCTATTCAAGAAGAAATCCATGGCAAGAGAAAGTCAAAGCAATTATCACAAACTATTTATTTACCAAAAATTGAAACAAACATCGAGAGCACATTTTGTAACACGATTTCAACACATCCTAAACATTTAACCTACAGTCTATCCATGGATTCAACCATGACAATGGAATTCCCACGGATCACCTGGAAAAGTAATTTAAAATTAGGAAAACCTTCAAAGAAATATGTGCCAGAAAGAGAATGTTGGTGTATGTAATATGTGAACAACTATCATTCATAACATACAATGACTCTTAAAAATCATCTAAAATATTATGTGAATTTAAACTGTGATAATTCAACTATACGATAGTCTAATGTTACCTATTAATTGGAGTTACTATTACCCTAGTTTGGGAAAAGGTGTTAAGCTCCATTGGTGTGCTTTGTTTCAATCTACGGAGAGTGTTCTACTTTTTAGAAAACTAAGAAATCACCTTCTTGCCATTCCCTTCATTAGTTTATCACAAATACTAGTTTCACTGCCACCTTCAAGTCAGAAGTAGTGTGTCACAAATGATTAATACAAATTTTAAAATGTTGGTGAACTAAGCCAAATCTATAGATATAGGATATATAGATACTGTATACCGGTATTGAATATAGGAACTCTTAACCCTGTGTCTGATAAAATATGTACCTCCTGAAAATATGACAAAAGTTCTAAACAAACCATATTTTTTCTAACGAGGTTTACAGATTTCTAATATTACTCTTACTATGCTACCTTTATAAATGAGTGAGTTGATTCAAACTGAGTGAGAGGTTTATATTAAAACTTTCAATACCATATCCTTTATAAATGAGTGAGTTGATTCAAACTGAGTGAGAGGTTTATATTAAAACTTTCAATACCATATGTAATTTATTGAATGCATTTTACTCACCACCATGCCTATGTTATTTTGTGTGTTATCTTTCTTTATTTCTATTGTTTCATCCAGTACAACATTCATGAAAGGATCGAAACCACGTAGAATTCCTTCCACATGTCTACCAGCATTCAGCTTTACTGTAATGTAACAATAAAACATTATTGGTACAGTAGAACCCCTCTTAACCGACTCTTAACGGGACTCGACCTAGGTCGGATAACTCAAAAGGTCGGTTAAAACTCCCTAAAAACTTAACCCAAAACAAATACTCAAATACTTTAAGTAAAATAAGTTACAGTCAATAAAAATTCTTATTTTAATACCTTTAATTGATCTCCAAATCCATCGTTATATACAGTACAGAACTTGTAGTTGAAATTAAAGATACAACCATTTCGGTAACGAGACAGGATTTTATTTATAGCCTGTAACATCCTGTAGAGTTTAGCGTATTGTTCCCATCGCTGAGCATGGGAGCAGAAATGCCGAGATTCCTATAAAACAGCGGTTAAACCGTACTGCTCTCAAAACAAGGTCAGTTAAAACTACCAACATTCAATTACGCATGCCTCAATGCCAAGTAGGCTATCACATCAAGCCAATTCAAAAACAAAAGTAGTTCTTCTCGGGTGCACTAACACAATTCAGACCAAAAGTAGTTTAATAACTCAATGAAGAAAAATATATTACATTGAAAAGAATGAATTGGTGTAGCACCAGCAGTGGCGTATCCAGGGAAGGAATCCCCCCCCCCCCCACAAAAATTATTGATATAGCCTATACAGGGTGAACAACT